GCCCAAAACGTCAGCCTTCCTGCTCCTCTGATGCTGCTTGGCCTGCTGTGTTCATCCAGCTCTACACCTTGTTATCTCAGATTCTCCAGCATCTGCAGTTCCTACTACCTCTCATTCTACTAAATGCCATCTTTGCACCTTAACAATCTACAGACCCATAAAATAGCACAGTCTTACTGCTCTAAAAAACACTGCTCCAGGCTAACTTACTACTTGTGTTTTTATGCTTTTAAAGTTTAATTAAGAGACAGATTTCAATAAAAATATACAATCAAAAAAGAACCCAATCTACTCACTGTTGTAGATTTACAAAACAAAAGTGATATTACACTTTAAAACTAGCCACTTTGCTGCTCCCCTGTTGTGAGCTCCACCACACAAGTTTCTCCAAGGTCAGCTGTGAATTTCGCTGTTTGTTTATTTTTCTTAGAAGAACTTCAATGTCCAGACTTACTTGAAATCAAACAGCAGAGGCAGTCAGCTGTACAGATTCACTGCTGGTTCAGACATTAGAGCAGGTTTATTTTTCCGTTTGATTCAATTCCCATGCTGTCACTGCCCTTGTCTCTCTTCTGTCTTTATTAAATTGCCGTTGTTTTGATCTTTCTTTTTCCCAAAATTCCAAAGCAATGCAACAGCTTATAAAACAGTAATTACATAAATTGCATATATTTATTTCACAAAAATTTCTTGCCCCTTGTAGAGACTTCAGGCTGAATCCCAATGCTTTCTCCAATGGAGAATTTCAGAGCTTTCCCTTGACATTCAATGGCATGCCCATTGCTGAATTACCTAACTGTGGTTCTGCCATCATCCAGAAACTTGGGTTGTTTGAGCAGTTCAGAGGCTTAATATTTGTCATCAGGTAACTCACGTCGTAACTCCCCAAACCCTTTCCACTACCTACAAGATGGAAGACTCTACAGGCCTGAACCAGTGCTGTCCCAACAACATTGATAATTTGACAGCACCAAGAACAAAGCAGCTGCTTGGTTTTCAACTTAGCTCATCCACCATCTTCAACATTTATATCCACCTTTGGCGTGCAGTGGTAGCTCTATGTACTAACTGTAAAATGTGCTACAGTAGTTCATTGAGGTTCTTTCAGCAGCTTCTTCCAAACCCATAACCTCCGTTACTTCAAAGCATAAGCACAGCAGACTTGTGGAACACCATCATACAAGTTCACCTTTAAGTTATACACCATCCTGACTTGGAACTACAACTACGGTTCCTGAACTGGGTGAACATTCTGGAGCTCCCTGTGTAACAGCACTCTTGCTGTGTCTATACCAAACTGACTTCAGCAGTTTCAGGAAGTTAGCTCACCATTATCTTGTTGAAGACACGTGAAAATGTGCAATAAATACTGGCCATGCCTGTGGCATCCACATCCCATGCGCAAACAAACAAAAACAAACTGTGGAATTTCATTCTTTTAAATTGTTCTTACATCTCTATTACTTACTGACTCATTTTCATGGTCTACAGTGTAACACATATACTGCCATGAGCATGGAGTTTGTTAACCTGCATGGATAGTAATGACAGCATGCCTTCCTGCTCAGACTAACTTGACAAGGATAATTGGCTAGAAACTTACTCATAATTAAATGCCCATTCTATTACTTGAAGGTGTGTTTTTTTATGGATGGTAAAATTGAATTATCAGAAAACAATAATTGAATTTAGTTTTCTTTCCATAGAGAATCCAAGTCAATAGTGAACCATCAAGTGTAAGGACACTTGCTGTGACATTTCGACCACATCAAGATATTCTTCTACCGTAAGATCATGTTGAACTCATGGGTGTGAAGAGATCTCAAACTACACTAAAGGAGTCGTGCGAGCCTTCTGCTGTTACTGAAGAAGCTGTGAATGGATCATCATTGCCTGATGTTACTGGCCATTTTGAACAATTTAGTTCAATAAATTTATACTTATCGGTTTAGTATTAATGCTGTTTCCTCTGGTGGAAAATTTTGAGTGCTTGATGAAAGTCATCACGGGCCACTCCAAGGAGCATAAATTGATTGTCAGGAGCCATGATGAGGGGAAGCAGTACCGATCTACTCCTATTCTCTAATGGCAGAGTAATCAGGTTAGCCATGTCCCCTGGGCAGCAGCAAAATCAGTTACAGGGCAGAATTTCACAGAAATGAGAGAGGGGACATATCATTCACCCAACAACCCTCACCCCTCCACCAACAGAATAAATTTGATCCTGATCAGCTGTCACCTTTAAGTCAGTAGCACCCCACCCCTCAATCATCAGTATAAGCCTTACTCCAGCTGGCCTTGTGAGGTAAGCTTTGTACCTCCATCCTTCAGTGGGAGGAGTTTCTGTTCATGAGAGCTGCTGACCAATTTGTAAAGGTTGTTGAAACAATTTTGAATTTGAAAGTGAATTCTTTTAAATTTTAATGTGTTCTGAATATTGTGTGTATTGGATGGAACTATAGACTGATTGCAGCTCAGAATTCACCTATGATTTCTTTGCTGGGCCTTTGAAGGAACAATTCACCAAGTGCCACTCCCTCTAGACTTCCAAATGTTTTCTTTAGATAATGATTGCATTCACCTTGAAATTTTAGTTGACCTTGGCCCTACCACAAGTCTCAGGCCATGTAATCTAGGCTCTAACCACTCATTGCAGAAAAATCACCATTACTGTACTTCTTTTGCCAATTACCAAAGGTTTGCTGTCAGATTCATAAGGCAGAGCAGAAACCTCCCCCCATGAACGTAGGTTTTAGGAAAAGCAGAGTCATTGGCCAGAATCTGAGCCAGAACAATGTTGGTTCCAGTGAGATTTGTGGCAGTATCAGATGAGAAGTCTGTGAGACTCAACTCAATGTTGAGAGCATCTCATGTCGCCAAATACGCTTGTCACAATAGGTATGGCATGTTTCTCACCGAGTGGTGCTGAGATGTCAATTAAGGGGACTACTGATTGTTAAACACCTTGTTGATAATCCAACTTGCCTTATTAATATTTAGATTTCTGTCTTACCAAATTTAACAAACAAGCTAGACATCGAGAAGACTTGTCATGAACACCAGAGTAGGTGCCTGGCAGATTTAACTCACTACTTACTCCTAATAACCTCCATGTTGCTTACACACAAACTGCAGCTCAGGGCATGATCCTTGCACACCTGTCACAATACCCCCTCATCCATGGACATTGGCACCTGGCATGTGTCAAATCCTCATGACCATCTTGACACCTTTACAATACACTTGTAAGCTGCTTACAAAGCATAAGACTCGCATTGCAGGGGCACACTGGCATTGAGTATCGAAAAGCTGCAAAAGAGACACTTTGCACCCATGGCCAGACACCCAACTTATGGATTGAACCAGGCTGCATCTTGGGACTGCTCACTTGTGTCTTAGCGCTCAGTCTGTCCCACCCGTATGCTCATGCCATCCATGCCTTGCATCGTTAGTGCATTGATGCTTCAACCAGAGCTGCTGTATTAAAGTGCTGTTTAGTGCAGACATATAGACACGTTGCTTGGCATCACCAGGTGAAGCCTGGTTTGCTTCCTATTCTTTAGATGTGAAATGCTACTAGAAAATCGCAAGGTGGGCAGCATAACTGTCAGTTTGACAGATGAAAGTGCTCACATTGAGATTTGTCCAATTGTTTGCCAGGATGTGATATTTCCCTACTGGACAGTGACAAGTTGTAGGTGTCCAGTGCCACTGGGAACAGAGTAGTGCTGACGTAGAAGGTGTTCACACAGATTGTAACAATGGAGGATAAAATGTGTGGTGCAGTGGTTAAACAGTGAGTAGGGTGAAAGAATGGGGTGGCATGTATGAGGGAGGGTCAGCCATGCTGGCTATCTGCTGTGGGCATTGTGCCTTTGTGATTAACATGCCATGATATTGCTAGTGAGGAACAACACTGGATTGCCAACAGTTGTTCAGGTGCACAGTGGCCTTTCAAAGATGGTGCAGGTGCATGGGATGGCTAAGAATGTAAATTCATTGGCTGTCTTTGAGCAGATATCTACAGAGAGGTGTTTTGTTCTGGAAACGGCATGTAGTAAGATGGAGCCAATATCATTTGCTGGCAGACCTGCTGAGATAATGAGGCAGGTTTGGTAAGATAAGAAATCTTGCTAGGTTTTGCAGCAAAATCCCTTCATAAACATGACACAGCTAAAAAAATTAAAAGATTCAGCCCACTGTCTTTCTTTCATGCCATAAAGTTCATTCCCTAGCCACTGATCACATCTCCTTCCCTGGCAACTGTCTGAGGCTGACTTGTGTCTTTTACATATTTAACTATGAGACGAGCATCCAACCTCATCCGCATCTTCATGAAGACTTTCTATTTCTACCTCAGTAACGTTCTCTGACTACACCCCTAACTCAGTTGATCTGCCTCTGAAACTCTTATCAATGTCTTTATCATCTGCGAGCATGTCCATTATTTGAAAATCCTCACCAACATCCAAGATATCCAAACTCTGCTACTTAAGTCATAACGTGCTCCAAATCCTATTCACCATCTCCACCATACTCACTAAAATTGTTCGGTGTTCTAAAATTCTTATCTTTGCTTGTTAAATCCTTGCATGGCCTTAAAACATCTTAGTCTTTGAATTTCCTCCAACTACACAACTTCCTGTTAAATCTCAGCACCTCTAATTCTGGCCTCTTGAGCATCTTTTAATCTTTCAACCATATAACCACGCCTTTGAGATGCTAAGGCACAGAACTGTCAACTTGTCTTCCCAAACCTCACCATCTCTCTTACATCATCTTATGGAAATTCTCAGTGTCAAATTTTGAGTAATAATATTCTGTGAAACATCTAAACGGTAGTATATAAATACTGCTGGTGCTGGATATCTGAAATATAAAGTTCTCAAAGCATGCAGCAAATCGGGCAGATTTTGCAGAAAATGTTAACGGTGTTTACAGGTGGAAATTTATTGCCCAGAGGCAGGTTCTGAGGCTGGTGCCTCATTTAATTTCGAGGGAGGGTGAGGTGTGAGGAACCCACAACACCCTCCTTTCAAATTAGTCCAGGGGAGATAAAAGTTTGCAGATTCCCTCTCTATCGAGATGGCTTTAAGTGGACAATTGGGCTTCATCCTGCTACCGCTGGTAATCACTCAATGGCCCGCAGGGGAACCACTGTGTAGACAAGGCAGCAAGCAGACTCACCTACAGCCTTGTAGTGGCATCTCTCATTCAGCAGCTCTCTGGGCTTGATTGTGTGCCTTGATAATGGATGTCCTCTGAAGGCCAGTCCCCTGTACATTCATTCAACTACCTCCACTTGCCCCTCACCAGTGACTCCCCTCCTCACCACTGCTATCCCACCGTCACTTTCTTACTTCAGGGAACTCACCTGATGAGGGATCAAGAGAATTAACTCCTGGCAGTACTGTCAATCATGGACTCTGGTTGTAGATTTCTCTCCTATTGAGGGATGTCCTCCTACTAAATGTCCCTTGTGGGAGACCTGATAGCAGGGTTCCCACTTAATTCTCTTAGAACTCCTGTAGTTTGAATCAACAGCAGTACCACAGGTTTTGTGGCAAATATCAGTCCAGCCACCAGCCTCATTAAATTCCACCCAGTACTCAAGTCAGTGAAAAAAATAAAAAGAATTAAATCTCTCAAAAAACTGACAGACAGTTTGATACAGTGACAAACAGGAACAATACCAAAGATTAGTGTGGGTAAGATTATGACATAAGGCAAGCCTGCCAATTTCATACAGTCTATTGTATAAAAATAGTGCTATTTCCCAATGTGTAAATAGCTTGTTAGAAATGTCTTAATAACAGAGATGTATTTTACATGCTTCAATATTTCTAAGAAATTGTACAAAATAAACTTTGAAAGTATATTTTACAATAATATTTATCCCTTGAAATATGTTTTATACCTTTTAAATTCCTTACAAAAGTTTTAACATGAAGGTCTTAACCTTGCAAGAGACTACAACCAGATTTAATATTTTTGCCTGGATTTGTGACCCTACCAGCAAGATTTGGATTCTGCAGTTTGAGCCTGTGCTGTGGACCTAATGCTTAATGTAGACAATATCTATCTTGCCCAGGAAGCTAATATTATCACAAAAATAGATCATCATCCAGGATTAGCTACTGATATTTTGAACATTTAAATACAAAATGTAAGAGACAAACACACCATACTTAGGATGTAAAGTCATGAGCTTGCTAAAATTCCTGTGTGGATTACACTGTTACCCAAGAAGAAACCATGGAATATTTCACCTAAAGGTGGTCAAAAGAACTTCAGAAGACAATACTTCAAAGGGAGAGACAGCATTCAAAACACTGAACTGTGATCTCCCGTGGTTTGTGACCCAGACTGTGGATATTATGTAAGCCGAAAGAAAGGCAGTTCTGAAAGGCATGTTTCTGTTTTGCCCTTCCAGCAATACACATGAAGGGGTTAAAAACCAACTACCGGTAGTTCTCCTATAATGCAATAGTTGCATTCTTGTGTGACCTTGCGATATAGAAAATTGCCATAGAAAATTGTGTTATAGGGAAATCGCTGGAGAAAAACACTATACCCGTACAGGAGAAATTTCATGTTATCCAAACAGTGTCCACTATTCATCAATCGTGTTACAGCCAATTCACATTAACGAAACAAACGTTATAGCAGAACAACCTGTACAACCCCTGGTCTCTGTGTGATACTGGGGTGGCCTGTGGTTCAAATTACACGTGCTAAAGTGTGTTGTGACATTGAGTAAAATAATTCAGATCCTCATTCAGCATCAATTAAGAAGATTCTCAATGTACAGCCCAGATTGCAGATGGTATATTTTAGCAGGGAATCTTTCTTTAGTTCATTATGAACGTTTAGAAGATAGCCTTGTATTCAATGTTATGTCTTTGTATTTATCAATGATACTGCCTCACAGCCAACTAAATATACAGTTATTTTGCCATATTGAACAATCACTTGATAAAATAACCAACAAAGTAACTGCATTAGGCAAGATATTGAGTACTGGTGGTGGTGTTACCTTTATTGCCAAATCATATCTTGGTCTCATAGTCATTGTCAAGCAAAATACCATTAGCCCTCTTCAGACGTTACACAGGGTCAAGCTCTGGACCTCTATTGTCTATTAAGACGTAATCACCTTTTAATCTTGTACTCATTGATGTATGTTGGCTATAAAATTGGGAAAGTATTGATTTCAAAATTATTTTCCCTCATTACATGTCCTTCTGTAGTTTTACATCTCCTTGTCTATGTAACTTGTAACCTCTCTGAAACACTCTCTACAAATTGGCGTCCCTTTAAAACTAAATTGTTCTCCAATTTCCTGTGTAGCTTGAGTTCTCATTTCACTGCTGGTTTCTAATAAATAAAGACAAATAGAAAGTACAAGAAAGGTAACAGGAAGCACCGAATTCATGTTGTGCCATTGAACTAACTTCAAAGAATTATCTGGTACCATATGTACCTTATTATCAACACAATGTTTGAGAAAATTGGAAGTTTTGGTCTCAGCGTGACAATTAGCCTTCAGATGAAGGTGGACAGGGGGACAACTGTCATCCTGATATCATGAGTAGCTGCCCGATGGTGATTGTTCAAAAGGATTCAGACAAGTGATTGACACAGCATAAACAAGCAGCCCCTACATAAAGGGTATATCAGCCACGTGGCAATTCTCAGTAGGGAGCTATCTTCTTAAGATGGAAGATGGACCAGAATTACTGAGGGAAAAACCTAAAAAGAGTAACACTTCAGCTAAAGAGCACATAACCTGACTGAGATTGGCACCTCTGCACCAACAGCCTGTTGTTTCGCTGGTTTCAGTGAAACTCTCCAATTGACACACATTGTATACTCTTCTTTGTCTAGTTAACTAACATTTCACATCTAAGTATCTCTTCTTAAAAAGCTGAATAAACTATCTGAAATTTCCTTTATAAATGGTCAAGTGTCTATATTAAAAACTGTGATCACAGACCTTCGACATCTAACAGACCTACAAATCTCCTGAGATCCTTCTGTTCCCTTAATCCTGGATTTTTGTGCTTCCTGGATTAGGCCCAAAAAAGGCATCTGTGCTATCAAAAGGTAATAATGAGAACTGCAGTCTTTGCGCCTGGTGGGAACATGTAGGGGTTCACTAGTGATAGGTTCTCCAGGGAATTCCAGGTGGAAAGGAACATGGTGCTTCGGGGGTGGGGGGGGGGGGTAATGTGGTGATGCTGGGAACCTGGTGCCCTCCATGACCTACATTGCCGTCCATGATCTCTGGATTCCCAAATGTGACTTACAATGGAAAATAGTTGTGGCTATACCTACAGTGGGCAGTCATTGTTTGTTACCTGCCAAAAGAATAGACCCTGCTTCCGAGCAACAGGAAGCCCTTCAAGGGGTAATTGCATCAACTATGTACCTACAGAGTGCTGGCTGTAGTCATTTGCAATCAAAGAATCATGCATGCAGTGTATCACTGTGGGCAGTGCAAATACTGATCCCAAACAATCTCGTCCTTGTAGATTGAAGATAAATATCTTTGTGAAGCTAAAGTAATTCAAAGAATCCATACAGTGTGGAAACAGGCCATTTGGCCCAACAAGTCCACACTGACTCCCCAAAGAGCATCCCACTCAGACTCAATCCCCTACCCTATCCCTGCATTTCCCGAGCCAAAAATACCTGGACACTGCAGGCAATTTAGCATGGCCAATCCACCTAACCTGCACATCTTTGGACTGTGGGAGGAAACCCACACAGACACAAGGAGAATGTGCAAACACCACACAGACAGTCACCCAATGCTGGAATTGAACCCAGTCCCTGGCACTGTGAGGTACTGGCGCTAACCACTCAGCCACCATGCCACCCCAATTCTAGGTGGCCTCAAAAATGACTCTTGTGGGCCAGAGGACACAAAGCCAAAGCAAGGCCTCAGAGTTTGTATATGGGAAAGGAAATGATTCCGTCTCAATTTGAATTGTAACTATAATGCAACTTGCTGTTATGTTATGATGTTTCTCATGAGTGATGTGGGACTGGGAGGAGAAAGGTTCAGTCCTCACACTGCTCTTTTAATCTGTCTTTTTGTGACATAATCAGAGATGAATTCACCAGAATGAGACCAATTGTGAGTCATTCCATGGCATTCCTTGTCAGAATGTTCCAGTTGCACTGTAAGGAGGAGTATGTCATTTGTGAGTGATGTGAATGTTGACAACTTATTGCAAGCATAATGGATGGATCCAGCCACAGGAGTGATTTCATCACTGTTGCTGCAATGCAAAGAAGGTGCAGAGAAATGGAAGAGGAACAGATGTGCCATAATGCCCAGGACCAGCAGCACACTCCAACAGATGTTGACCAGCCTTCACATGAAGAGGTCACTGCTGAAAGGCTGCTCAGAATGCAGAGGACGTACCAGAGGCCCAGAGCTAATAATTTTCAAGGCATTTCCTCCCGATGAGCAAGGCACAGTGTTGGTATAGACTAATCATGTCCTGGGACACTGTCACAGAATTATTGCAACTACTGAACTGGAACCTGAAACCTGAAGGTATGGGTGACCACCAAGATGTCACCAGCTCCGTTGCACTTTTATGTGATAGGCTCCTTCCAAGAAACCATTGAGGATCTGTTGGATTTCTCAATCATCCCCCCAGGAATTAATTAAGGCTGTTAACAATGATATTTGGGCCAGATTGCACTGTTTCATTGCATACCCCTATGACGAGGTCAGTGCTGCAGCTTGGGAGTAGGATTTGGTGCCATAGCTGGCTTCGCCCAGGTGTAGAATGCAATTGGCTGTACACACATTGCACTGAGAGAGCCACATCATAAAACAGCTCAGTTTGTTCATAGAAAGGATTTCCATTCTATCAATGTGCAAGTGACCTGTGATCAGCAATTCCACTTGTTAGAAGTGTGCATTTAGTAACCCAGGAGTTACCAGAATGCCTATATCCTTTAAAACCCTCATGTTCCAGCCAAGTTTGCACTACTGCCTGGACAAATTGTGCCACATAATCCTCACATATACAGAACTGGATAAAGAGAAAAAGGGAGATGTACGGCAGATACTTGGGGCTCAAAACAACAGAAACCCTCAAGGAACAAAAACAAAGTCTGTGGATGAGAAAACAGAGATAACGTTTCGGGTCCGGTGACCCTTCCTCAGAACCTTCTGTTCTGAGGAAGGGTCACTGGACCCGAAACGTTAACTCTGTTTTCTCGTCCACAGATGCTGCCAGATCTGCTGAGCTTTTCCAGCAACTTTGTTTTTGTTCCTGATTTACAGCATCCGCAGTTCTTTTGGTTTTTTTTTAGAAACTCTCAAGGAGTGCAGAATGTGCAAAGAGAAACTTTAAAAGTGAATTAGGAGAGCAAAAAGGGACATGAAAGAATAATGGAAGGTAAAATACAGGAAAATTGTAAGTTATTTTACAGTACATAAAGAATAAAAGGGTACCTAGGAAAGAATAGAGCCTATGAAGGACAACAATGGTGATGTTTTATTCATTCATAGCATGAGGGCATTGCTAGATAGGCAGCATTTACTACTCATCCCTAATTGCCCAAAAGGCAGTTAAGAGTCAACCCACTGCTGTGGGTCTGGAGTCACAGGTAAGGATAGCAGTGTATTTCCCTAAAGGGCATTAGTGAACAAGATGGGTTTTTTGCCAATGGATTCATCGTCATCATTAGACTCTTACCTCCAGATTTTTTTTCTTTATTCATTCTCAGGATGAGGGTGTCACCGGCTAGGCAGCAATTATTGCCCATCCCTAATTGCCCAGAGGGCAGTTAAGAGTAAACCACATTGCTGTGGGTCTGGAGTCACATGTAGATGTAGGCCAGGCCAGGTAAGGATGGCAGTTTTCTTCCCTAAAGGGCATTAGTGAACCAGATGGGTTTTTCCAACAATCGACAATGGATTCACAGTCATTAGACTCTTAATTCCAGATCTTTACTGAATTCAAATTCTACCATCTACCGTTGCAGGATTTGAACCCAGATACCCAGAATGTTATCTGGCTCTCTGGATTAACTGTCTGGCGATAATACTACTAGGCCATCGCCTCCCCATATTACTGAATTCAAATTCCACCATCTGCTGTGGCAGGATTCAAAAGTGGGTCTCCAGAACGTTATCTGGATCTTTGGATTAACAGTCGAGTGATAATACCACTAGGCCGTTGCCTCCCACTGCCAAATTTGTACATAGAGATGATGGACATATATAAGGTTCTAAATTTGTGTCGGTGTTCACGATGAGAGGAATAGTGTTAGTATAGAAATCAGGGAGAAGAAGTGTGATATACTTAAAGAAAGTAGCATAGCGAGAAAGGTGATTTTGAGTGTCTGGCAGTCTTAAAAGTAGATAGATCTCCAGGGCTGGATGAAATGTATCGCAGGCTGTTGGGTGAGGCAAAGGAGGAAGTAGCAGGGGTGCTGGCAATAATTTTCACTTTCTTTCTGGCATCAGAAGAGGTGCCAGAGGACTGGAGGACTGCCAGTTGGATACCATTATTCAAGAAGATACCAGGGAATAAGCCAGAAATCCGCAGGCCAGTCAGTCTCATCTCTGTGGCAAAGAAACTATTGGAAGCAATTCTGAGGAGCAGTATTAATCTGCACTTGGAGTGATAGAGATTAATCAAGAACCGGGTTCTGTTAAGGAGCGATCATGGCTGACCAACTTGATTCAATTTTCGAAGAGGTGACCAAGTGTGTAGTTGAGGGTAATGCATTTGACACACTGTAATTGGGCTTCAGCAAGGCTTTTGATAAGGTTCCACATGGGAGATTGATCGTGAAGGTAACAGCCCATGGGATCCAAAGAAATTTGGCAAATTGGATCCAGAATTGGCTGACTGGCAGGAAGTAAAGGATGATGGTGAAGGGTGTTTTTGTGATTGGAAGCCTACGTCCAGTTGGGTTCTGCAGGGAACAGTGTTGGGGCACTTGCTGTATAAAGTATGTACAAACAATTTAGACTCAAATATGGGAGGGTTGATCAGTTAGTTCGCAGATGATGCAAAAACTGATGAGATGATAAATAGTGAGGAGGATAACCTTCGACTGCAGGAGGATATAGACAGGCTGGTCAGATGCGCTGATCAGTGACAAACAGAATTCAATCCAGATAAACGTGAAGTGATGCACTTGGGCAGGACAAACAAAGCAAGGGAATACATGACAAACAGCAGGACCCTGGGAAACATGGAGAATCAGTAGGACCTTGCTGTGCATGTACATCAATCCCTTAAGGTAACAGATGGGTTGATAACAAAAACAAAGTTGCTGGCAAAGCTCAGCAGTTCTGGCAGCATCTGTGAAGGAGAAAACAAAGTTAACCTTCTGAAGAAGGGTCACTGGACCTGAAACATTAACACTGTTTTCTCCTTCACAGATGCTGCCAGACCTGCTGAGCTTTTCCAGCAACTTTTATTTTTGTTCCTGATTTACAGCATCCGCAGCTCTTTTGCTTTTTAGATGGGTAGATAAAGTGGTTAAGGAAGCATTTGGGATACTTACTTTATGGTTCCTTTGTGGTGATCAGTGGCAAGATTCTGAAGAATTGAGAGATGGAAGGTACACCCCTTCTTCCCTGAAGGAGCTAAACTGGAGACAAGGGAAATACCAGACCACATAGTCAGTAATTGAGGTCAGCGACCTGGAACATTTGATCACCTTTTCCTCCCCGCTTCCCCACCCACCCCCCCACCCCCCTCGACCCTGAAGTCCAGCTTTCCCAGGAGCCTGTCAACAATCAAATGCTTGTCTTGCTACTGCAGGTAAAAGGCCAGCCAAGAGTGAGTGGTGGTCTCCTCTTCCTGGACAATGTACTACGCTAGGTCCAAGGCTGAAAGACCACCAATCTGCTCCAGGGTAAACAGAGCTGTTGTTGTTGTTTAAGGTGCCTGGGTCTGCCCAGTTTCATTCCTTTTTTGAAATTTTGTCGTAATTTTTACAACTGAGTAGTTTGCTAGGCTATTTCAAAGGGCGGTTAAAAGTCAACCACATTGCTGTGGGTCTGGAGTATTATGTCAGCCTGACCAAGTAGGGACACAGATTTCTTTCCCTGGATAACATTAATGAAGTAGTTGCGTTCTTCTGACAGCCAACAGTGGTTTCATGGTCATTGTTAGATTCTTAATTCCAGATTTTTATTAAACTCAAATTCCAAACCTGGAATTAACAGTCTAGCAATAATACCACTAAGTCATTGCCTCCCTGTGCATTGTATTACAGTAATTTTTTTATGAATTTAGTGAATCCCCAGAGCCAAGAATAGCTTCTTCAATTGTTGAGTTTAAGGTGTTCAGTCCCCCATATAGTCTGCAGAGGGGTCACTCTCAGTAAGGTGTAGGGTTGTTAGTGCCTCTCCACAAATGCAGAAGGCATTTGTGCTGGGGCTCCAGCAATGGAGCTTGGTTGCACAGAGGGCCTGACATGTCCTGAAACAGTTTAGGGAGGACTACCCCAACCTTAATTGAAAATCTGCCATTTGACACATGAAGTTTGGTGAAAGGAACTTGTTAGTGACCACCTATGCCTCCCATTCCTTGATCCAGAAGATAACTGGTGGATCTTGCTCAAGAAGGTTGCTCCATGTGGACCACCAAGATAGAAAACGGCTCTTCGTGCAGTATTACCTCGGGGTATTGGTCTTTTCTGCGTGTCTTAAATACTTTTCTGGGTAAATTGATTTCTCTGCTGTTGCTGTCTTTACTTCCGTCTCATTTCACAAGGTTACCACCTGATCATCTTCTCAGCCTTTCTTTATTATATTTACAAGCAGCTTCTTCGCAGGAAGACCCTCCCATGACTACAACAGCGCAACAAGGATTTCTGGACCAGAAATTTTGATCCCCAAGGATTCTGGTTCTGAAAGTTGTAAAACGGCCCCTTTGCCTTAACGGCATATGTAGAAACGTACACTTGATTATCAAGACAAATCAGCAACTAGATGTCCGTGCTTTAGCCACCAATACTGAGGCGCAGTAGCTTTTTTGGAGGGATGTACCATGTGATAAGGTGGAAATCGAAAGTGAAAATACTTTTATTCTTCTGCGAAATGGCTGTGCGAATGTTAGTGGAGGGAAAGTATCTCCAAATGAAAGTTAAGGCTTCTGCTGAGGCTCTCCTATTGTGCGCTGTGTTCGCCTTGTGGTTTGTCCGTGTCGCAGGTAAGGAACCATCCAGGTGCTGAATGCTCTCCCACTGGAAATGACAATGGAAAGTATCTCGTCAAAAATTTATTCTCAAAATGGAGTCCTAACATTTATCACAAGTTTCTATCAAACCCATTAACTGTTATCTTTTAAACAATTTTAGAATCTTTGTGTTTTTTTTTGTGTATTGGAGTTAGTGCCAGTAAATTATTGCTGAAAATACACGTGTGAGTGTCTTTTAGTTTCTATTAAAGTAATTTCTAACGCTAGAAATATTGCCACACCCATTGCCCGGGTGGGAAGCCATTACATTTCTTGTTTAAACAAAAAGTGCGTGTCTTTCGTTTTTTGTTTTAAATCTGTAATTCCTGAGTTCTTTAGCCTCAGTGTAAATCTAATATAGACAAAACGGGAAGGAACAAGAACAGGGGTTGCTGAAAAGCTCAGCCGGTCTGGCAGCATCTGTGTAGAAAAAGATGAAGAGTCAATGTTTCGGGTCCGGTGTCCCTCCACCGTACCATTGAGCCAACTTCAATATGAAGGGTCACCGGACCCGAAATGTTAACTCCGGTTTTTACCTTCACAGATGCTGCCAGACTTGCTGAGCTTTTCCAGCAACTTCTGGTTTTGCTCTTGATTTACAGCATCCGCAGTTCTCCTTATGAAACTGAAGGAGATTTGTATTGATCAACGTAGAGTCATACGGCACGGACCGTTCTGTTTAATCAGTCCATGCCTACCAAGTCACACCTGCCTGCCCTGGCCCAATTCCCTCAAACATTTCTTATTTATATACTTACCTAAATGCTGTAACTGTACCAGCATCCACAACTTCGTCTGAAAGTGCATTCCACACACCAACTACTCTGTGTAAATAAATTGCCCGTCCTGTCTTTTTTTAAATCTTTTGTCTTCTCACCTTAAAAAAGCCCCGTGGCTTGAAATACCCGACTATAGAGAAAAGTCACCTGCTACTCACCTTATTTATAATCCTATGATTTTATAAACCTCTATAAGGTCACCCCTCAATTTCATATGCTCCAGTGAAAAAAGTCCCAGCCAATCTAGCCTCTCCCCGTAACTCAAACTCTCCATTCCCAGCAACATCATGGTAAATTTCTTCTGAACCTTCTCCAGCTTAATAATATCCTTCCTATAATAGGGTGACCAAAACTGAACACAGTACTCTAGAAGAGGCATCATCAACACCCTGTATGATCTCAACATAGCATTCCGACTCCTATACTCAAAGGTCTGAGCAATGAAGGCAAGCATGCTAAATGCCTTCTTAACCACCCTATCTATATGTGATGCAAACTTCCAAGAATTATCCACCTGAACTCATAGATCTGTGTTCTGCCACACTACCCAAGGCCCTACTTTGTTAAGTCTTCCCTTTGTTTGTTTTACCAAAATGAAATACATTACATTTATCCAAATTAAACTCCATCTGTCACTTTTCAGCCATTGACCCAATTGATCAAAATCTCTTTGTAATCTTAGATAATCTTATTGACCATCCACTATACCATCAATCTTGGTGTCACCCCGCCAAACTTACTTGCCATGCTTTCTACATTATTGTCTAAATTATTTATGTAAATGACATACAACAGTGGACCCAGCACTGATCCCTGTGGAACAGTGCTGGTCACAGGATTTCAATCCAAAAAACAACCCCCCACCATGCCATTGAGCCAATTTCATATTCAGAGATAGTAGGAACTGCAGATGCTGGAGAATCTGAGACAACAAAGGTGCAGGGCTGGATGAACACAGCAGGCCAAGCAGCATCATAGGAGCAGAAAGGCTGACGTTTCGGGCCTAGACCTTTCTGATGAAGGGTCTAGGCCCGAAACGTCAGCCTTTCTGCTCCTATGATGCTGCTTGGCCTGCTGTGTTCATCCAGCCCTGCACCTTTGTTGTCTCAATTTCATATTCATTTGGCAAGCTCACCCCGAATCCCACGTGATCTAACTTTACGAATTAGTCTACTAAGCAAAACCTTGTCAAAGACTTCACTAAAGTCCAAGTAAACAGTGTCTGCTGCTCTGCCATCATCAACCTTCTTGGTTACTTCCTCAAAAAACTTCATCAAGTTTGTGACACATGTAGAGTAGCACGGTGGCTCAGTGATTAGCACTGCTGCCTTACATCACCAGGAACACGGGTTTTACTCCACCTCGGGTGACTGTCTGTGTGGAGATTGCACATTCTCCCTATGTCTGCGTGGATTTCCTCCGGGTGCTCCGGTTTCCTCCCACAGTCCAAAGATGTGCAGGTTAGGTGGATTGGCCATGCTAAATTACCCATAGTGTTCAGGGATGTGTAGATTAGTGGGTCAGACGTGGGAAATGCAGGGGTGGGGGAATAGGCCTGTGTGGGATGCTCTTCGGCTGGATGGTGTAGACTTGTTGGGCCGAATGGCCTGTTTCCACACTGTAGAGATTCTATGATTTCCCTCACAAAACCATGCTGACCATCCCTAATCATTCCTTGCCTCTCTAAATGTATATAAATCCTATCTTTCAGAATCAAATCCAACAACTTACCTGCCACCAGGGTCAGACTCACAGGCCTATAGCTCTCAGGCTTTTCCTTGATTCCTTCGTAAACAAAGGCACACCATTAGCACTCGCCAGTCATCTATCACCTCACCCGTATTTATAGATGATACAAATATGTCTGCAAGGGGCCTCGCAATTTTCTCCCTAACTTCCCACAAAGTCCCGGGATACACTAGATCAGGTCCCGGGGATTTATCTATTTTTATATTTTCTAAGACTTCCAGCACTTCCTCTTCTGTAATGTGAACTGTTTTCAAAACATCAATATTTATTTCCCCGAGTTCTCTAGCCTCCATTTGTTTCTCTGAAGTAAAAACTGACACAAAATATTGATATAATATCTCTCCCATCTCCTGAGGTTCAACACAAAGATGACCTCTTTGATCTTTAAGGCGCCCACATTCTCTGTCGTTGCTCTCTTGCTCCTAGTGTACTTGTAGAATCACTTTGGATTATCCTTAGCCTTATTTGCAAAGGATATCTCATATGTTTGAAAACAAGTTCGATGGAAAGGTGAACTGTGGCAGAGATCCTTCAGCATGATCTGGATGTGTCGGGTGAGTGGGCAAATCAAAGGTAGATGCAGTATAATTTGGATAAGTGTGAGGTTATTCACTTTGGAAGCAAAAACAAGAAGGCAGATTACTACCTGAATGGCTGTAAATTTGGAGAAGGGAGTGTGCAGCGGGACCTGGGCATCCTTGTGCACCAGTCACTGAAGGTAAGCATGCAGGTACAGCAGGCGATAAAGAAGGCATGTTGGTATGTTGGCCTTCATTGTGAGAAGTTTTGAGTACAGGAGCAGGGATGTTTTGTTGCAGTTATACAGGGCCTTGATGAGGCCACACATAGAATATTGTGTGCAATTTTGGTCTCCTTTTCTTGCCCTCAAGGGAATGCAGCAAAGGTTTACCAGGCCAATTCCAGGGATGTGGGACTGACAAATGAGGAGACATTGACTAGGTTAGGATTGTTTTTGCTGGTGTTCAGACGAATGGGGGTGGGATCTCATTGAGACTTGTAAAATTCTAACAGGAATACGCAAGGTAGATGCAGGGAGGATATTCCCAATGGTGGGTGTGTCTAGAACCAGGGGTCACAGTCTGAGGATTTGGCGTAGACCATTTAAGACGGAGATGAGAAGACATTTCTTCACCCAAAGAGTGGTGAGCCTGTGGAAATCATTACCACAGGAAGTAGTTGATGCCAAAACATTCAGTGTGTTCAAGAGGCAGCTAGATATAACCCTCAGGGCGAATGGGATCAAAGGTTATGAGGAAAAAGCAGGATTAGGCTGTTGAGTTGGAGGATCAGCCATAATCATGAAGAATGGTGGAACAGGCTTGAAGGGCTGAATGGTCTCCTCCTGCTCCTATCTTCTATGTTTCTATCCTCTCTTTGCCTTCCTGATCTCTCTCTTAAGAATGCTTCTACATGCTGCATACTGATCAAGAGATTAGTTTGAACCCAGTTGTCTATATCTAATATACGATTCTTTTTTACTCTTGACTAGAACCTCAATATCTTTATTTGTCCGTTGTTCTTTAATCGTACCAACCTTGCCTTTCACTCTAACAGGAACAAAATGACTCTGAACCCTCATTATCATACTTTTGAAAGTCTTCCACTAATCAGATCAGACATCCCTTTATTTGCAAACAGTCTACTCCAATCAATTCTTGAACGTTCTTGTCTCACACCATTTAAAATTTGCCTTACTCCAATTAAAATCTTTAATTTTTATGGATGTCTTATCTTTTTCCATAACTATTTTAAAACCAATAGAATGATCACTAGACCCAAATTGTTCCCCTACTATCGTTTCAGTCACTTGCCCTGTACCCAAGAGAAGATCAAGTTTTGCTCCTTCTCTAGTAGGATCATTTACATATTGATAAAGAAACTTTTCTTGAATACGTTTAACAAATTTTTCACGATCCAAACCTTTAATACTATGCCAGTCCCAGTCAATGTTTGGAAAATTAAAATCACCCACTATCACAACCTTATTATTCTTACATGTATCTGAGATCACTCTGCATATTTGTTCCTCAGTTTCCCTCTGACTATTGATGGGTCTGTAGTACAATCCCAGTCATTCCTTTTTTATTCCTAATTTCAACCCATATATTTTCACAGGATGATTTTCCAGATATATCTTCTCTAGTTACAGCATTAATGTTTTCCTTAATCAAAATTGTCACTTCCCATCCTCATTTGCCTCGCTTTCTATACTTCCTGTTGCATCTAAAACCCGGAAGATTGAGCTGCCAGTCCTGTCCATTCCTCAGCCATGTTTCTGCAATACCTCTGATATCCCAATCCCATATTCCCAAACATACCCTGAGTTCATCGGCCTTACCTGTATGACCCCTTACATTGAAATAAGTGCAGTTTAAATCTTCAGAGTTACTTCATTCTGTGACTTGCTCTTGTCTGTCTTGTCTAACTAACTTATTCTTTTCAGATTCAAAACCGCCCTCATCTATCTTTCTATTTAGTCTGCTACCTAGGATCCCTCCACTCCCCCTCTCTAATAGGTTAGTCTCCCTTAATGGAATTACCAAACCTCCCTGCTAGGATATTGGTCCGTTTACTGTAGAGGTGAAACCCGTCCCTTTTGAACAGATGTTTTCTGCCCCAGAAGAGATCCTGATGATGCAAGAACCTGAATCCCTGAACATTACACCATCTCTTCAGCTGTTGAATTATCTCCTTTATCCTTTTATTCTTTCCCTTGTTCAAGCTTGGCACTGGGAGTAAACCAGAGATTACTACTTTTGAGGTTTTTTTTAAATCTTCTACCTAACCTCTTATATTTGCTCTGAAAAGCCTTAATCTTTTCCCTAACTATGTCCTTCCTACCAATATGTACAATAACTTCAGGTTTCTCATTCTCCCCTTTAACAATAAGCTTTAAACATTCTGAGACATCCTTAATCCTGGCACCAGGAATGCAACATACTATCCTAGATTTGCGCTCACTGCTGAACAATCTCTTGTCTGTGGTCTTGATAGGAGAGTCCCCTATAACAATTATTCTTTTAAATTTTGTCAAACCCCACCTAATTCACTTTTTGTGCCCAAGATCTGACTGTCTCTTCTGTTTTCCTCAGAGACAATCCTTTTCAACAGTACCGAAAACTGAGTATCTGTTTGAGAGAGGATGTAAGTGCCATGGAACACTAGCTCTTCATTAAGCTTAATTAGCTTGTATGGAACCATCAACTTGTATAGAACTGCTCACTGTGGTCCCATTGTTGTGAGTAACGGCAGAGAGCAGCTGCAACCAGTGTCAGGGTCAGTTAAAGATGTGGTGAATACTGCCATGTCAATGCAAGAAGGATTTGGTAGTAAATGAAGGACTTGTCAGTGGCAAACACAACCTGAGAATGAACATTTTTAAAATCTACAACCCTTGCATAAGTTGAACGGGTTGATTATTTAAATAGTGCCATATCTTGCATTTCCCAGAATGCCAAATCATATGAATACTGACTAGAGTGTGCATTTTATATAATTACTCACATCACTCATGAGAGCTAGAACAATCTAAGGTTCCACATTTGCCTGCTTACCTCTGGCCTATCCAAGGTTCCAGCCATACCTTTCAGGTGAAGCAGTGATTTACCTGCACTTTATTCAATCTATCTTACATTATTTACTACTCATAAAGTGGTCTGCCCTACATAGAATCCCTACAGTGCAGAAAGAGGCCATTCAGCCCATTGAGTCTCCGAAAAGCATCCCACCCAGACCTAGCCTCACACCCTATCCCATAACCCGTATTTCCTGTGGCTAATTCAGCTAGCCTGCACGTGCTTTGTACTGTAAGAGGAAACCCTCACAGACACAGGGAGAATGTGTAAACATAGAGATGGTTGCCCAAGGCTGGAATTGAACTTTGGCCCCTGACACTGTGAGACAGCATGCTAACCACTGAACCACTGTGCCACCTAGATGTCGGGGAAGACGCAAGGCACGCTGGGTGACTACTTTGCAGAATATCTGCATTCCATCCAATAAAATTACCCTAAGCTTTCAGTTGCCCGTCACTTCAACATGTCACCATTTTCCCTTGCCAACATTTCTGTCTCGGGCTCCGTTGTAGCATTCCAGCGAGGTGCAGCGCAAGCTGGAAGAACAGCACCTCATTTTCGGCTTGGAAAACCTTCAGCCTTCCGGACTGAATACTGAGTTTGATAGTTTCAGAATCTGAACACAGTTTGAGGTGTCTGGAGGAGCATGAGGTGCCATGAATTGTACCCATGTAGATAACAGAGTGTGGAGCTGGAGGAGCAGAGCAGGCCAAACAGCATCAGAGGAGCAGGAAAGTTGACATTTTGGGTCGGGACCCTTCAACCCCATTTCTGAAGAAGTGTCCCTCCTGACCCGAAATGTCAACTTTCCTGCTCCTCTGATGCTGCCTGGCCTGCTGTGTTCCTCCAGCTCCACACTGTGTTATCACTGACTTCAGTATCAGCAGTTCTTACTATCTGTGAATGAATTGTACCCACCTCTACCAATTCCTCTGGCAGCTTATTCCATATACGCCTCTGTGTGGAAAAAGTTACCCCTGAGGTTCCTTTTAAACATTTTCCCACTTACCTTAAATCTATGTCCTCTAGTTTAGGACTCCCCTACCCTGGGGAAAAGACCTTGGCTAATAATCTTATCTATGCCTGTCATGATTTTATAAACATCTATAAGGTCACCCCTCAACTTCCTATATTTCAAAGAAACAAGTCCCAGCCTATTGAGCCTCTCCTTGTAACTCAAACCTTTCAATCTGGGTAACATCCTTGTCAATCATTTTTGCATCCTTTCTAATTTAATGACATCCTGCTTTGATGGTTCAGAGCAGTCGGCCTCACCTCATGTTCAAGGGGAGACAAAGCAGTGCTGGTGGTGGTGAGGGGGTTGTTAATTCATTCCAAAGCCAGAGGGTGAATTAGGAAAGCAGTCAATCTTTTACTTCATACTCAATTAGAGTCATACAGTAGTTTGAAAGAAGACTATTACAAGACGCTATCTCCTCTCTAATCAACACACAAGTTCAGATTTTCATCCTCGAAGCAGTAGACGCAGTTGAGAAGATTTCTGGGTTTGCAGTCTGGAGAAAGTGGCCACATAGTTGTGATCCTCATTGCTACAGGAGCTACTACAGGAGTAATTGCTACAATTACAACATTTAAGAGACTTTTAGCTAGATACATAGATAGGATAGGTTTAGGGCCAAACGTAGGCAAATGGGACTGGTTCAGTTTAGGAATCCTAGTTAGCATGGATGAGTTGGGCCAAAGTTCCTGTTTCCGTGCTATATGATTCAATGACTCTATAAGGCATCATTTAACTGAGTGTGACTTCAAGAGGCCTGGCAAAAAGTGAAGTCAATGGTAGTTGAAGAATGCTTTGCTTTCCATTGCTTAGGATCATACTGAGTGCAAAGCCTATCCACTACCTACAAATCACCATCAGAAATATGATGGAATACTTTCCATTCATCTGGACAAATGCAACTCCAATACTTAAAGGAGCTCAGAGCCATCCATGACAAGGCAGCCTAATTGAATGGCAGCACATCCACCACCTTAAAGATTCAGTCCCTCCTCCACTGATGTGCAGTAGCAGCCTGTGTACCATCCACAACTTGCACTGCTCCAACTTGCTGAGATTCCTTTTGAAAGCACCATCTGAATCCAGCTGGAAGAAAGAAGGGCGCATACGCATTGGAATGCCACCATCTTCAAATTTCCCTCCAAGTTGCATGTCATCCCCTGACAAAGAACCAGAGTGCTGTTCTTTGTCTACTGCAATATCGAATTCCTGGAGCATCCACCCTAACAGCATTGTAGATGTTCTGCACCACATGGAATGGACTGGTTCAAGAAGACAGCTCACCTTATCCCATTAAAGTATTTTTATTTTAAAAATCTTATTAGGGAATCAAGAGTGTGACTTGCTTTTAACCATTCCATGACTGTGCTTTGGAACTGAGTATCTGAAGTGCAAGTGTTCCACTTTAAATCCTATATTTTGAGTTTCTCCAATTTCTTTTATTTCTGGTTCTGACATTTGAATGTTGTTAATTGTTCTCTTTATCTAGAAACTTTGGATGTGACCATATTTTCAAACCCAACAAATGTCTTAATGACAGAAAATGTTTCCCTGGAATGCAAATTTACTGGTTATACTGCCTTCAACCTAACAAGTGTTGGGGTCCAGTGGTTTGGGCCCTCAAAAAAGGAGATCTATACCTTTGATGGAAGGGACCATACTTCAAAAAGACAAGGAGCAAAGATCTTTGAAGATGGATTACGGAAAGGAGATGCTTCACTTTTTCTTTCAAATATACAGATTGAAGACGAAGGGACATACACTTGTATTGTATTTGTCACACCTCTCAAAGCTGAAAAGAGTTCAGAACTACAGGTGTCAGGTAAGATACTTAAATTGCTATTTATTGTTGTGTTAGTGAAATGCCAAGTTAGAAGTGTAAAACAAACATGCTCAAGTTAATGTTTGTGGTTCTTTGGGCTACAGATTACCTCTTCAACCATGAAGCCTGAGCTTCAGTGCATTCTAGGCTCTTGGGATGATGTTGCACTCCAGCTCCCAGCAGTGATAGGGATTTGAACAGTCTTAAGTTTGGCACTTTCACCATTAAGACTAGTTAATGAACTAGAAAATGGCATAAGTAATATTAATGTGAATGTGTGAAGTTATTCACTTAGGTAGAAAAAAACATAAAGGCAGAATATTTCTTAACTGGTGAGAGATTGGGAAGTTCAGGTTCCTGCATCCTAGCTCTTAAGTGTAATTACAGATACATTGTAGCATGCAAACAATTAGAAAGGCAAGTGGCTGGTTGGCTTTTATTGCAAAGGGAATTGAATGCAGGAGTAAATATGTCTTCCTGCAGTTGTATGAAGATTTGGTGAAACCTTACTTGAAGAAGGGTCTAGGCCCGAAACGTCAGCTTTCCTGCACCTCTGATGCTGCTTGGCCTGCTGTGTTCATCCAGCTCTACACCTTGTTATCTTGGAGTATTGTGTGTAGTTTTGGTCCTCTTATGTAAAGAACATTATACTTTCCATAAACTTGAGTGCAACAGAGGCCTACAAAGTTATTTGCTGGGATGATGGGATGGTTTTATGAGGACAGATTAAGGAAATTAGGTCTGTATTTCTTAGAGTTCATAAGAATGAGGAGAGACCTCACTGAAACTTATAAATTTCTTTATAGCGTGTGACAGAGTGAATGTATTTGAAATGTAGCTAGAGTATTGTATGCAGTTCTGGAATCCACATTATAGGAAGGATGAGATTGCATTGGAGAGGGTGCAGAGGAGATTTATCAGGATGTTGCCTAGGCTGGTGAGTTTTATGGATAGACTGGGGTTGTTTTCCTTGGAGCAGAGGAGACTGAGGGGGGAATAGGATTGAGATGTGTAAAATCATGGGGGGTATATACAGGGTAGATGGGAAGAAACTTTTCTCCTTTGTTATGGGTAAATCACCACAAGTTACTTTTAACTTGGCTACTTATTAAGAAATCTCATAGACAATCAAGTACTGAAACAATGATTTAAACTCTATTGCATGTAGGAACCAAAATAAGACCCCTCAAGTAAGCAAGTTAAACCTCACAACCAACTTGGCTATTACCCAATTAATGGTGGAACTTGGCCACAATTCCATGTGTCTATCTCTGGAAGTGTCCAGAGTTTGATCCTTGTGTCATGTTCTGCTAAAGGAAGAGTTCTGGTGTTCGATTCTTAGACAGAGTTCCATTCTTCAGGTCTATGCGTGATATTATGAGTAATTTCTTTTTAAGTCCTTTTATCAAAATTACTGCAAGTCTGCAGCTTGCCTTCTTATCAGAAGTAACTTTGTTGTTCTTTGTTACATTTGATCTTAACTGTCTGTTTGAAACCATAGCTTTCCTGCAGTTAACTCCTTAAATTCTTCTGCGGGGCAATCAGTTGTCTTTGTGGCATAAAGCAGCTGTTCATCCAGCAGATTTCAAAGTGGTTTTGTTCATGTAGCTTCGACTCCTCCTTTTCCCAGACGTGGCTAATTGTTTTCAATTCCAGTGTAAGTTTGTCCTTGTCCCTTTATATTTATTCAAGAGATACTTATTGCTGCTGCTTTCTGTGTTTAACAGTTTACGTTTTGTTGATTCATTCAATCAATGTGCACTTATTAATGTTCTGCGGTTTATAGTATCACAGAACCTCCCCTTTTCGTTATGTTTAATACGATGAACAAACACTAGAAATTGGCCACATCCCACCAAATTGGTCCGTATCCAAGCTGAGTTGTTACACCATGCACAATTTAAAAATATACCATTTCATTATGCAGTGCAGATACAAGTAAACCAATAATCAAGAAATGAATTACAAGGATTAGTAAATGAATCGCAAGGGAAATAAGCACAAAGAAATAAACACACACAAAACAAAAATAGAGTAATAGAACTGCTTTATGCATCATCATGTCTTCACAAGACTACAACAAGATGTGAAATAATATGAACCCGCACAGCTATGTGTGCATTAATTCCCCAATTCCACATGTCCAGATTTGACAGTTTTTTTTCCACACAGAGTTATTGCTGCTGCTTTCCGTGTGTAACAGTTTATGTTTTTGTTGATTCCTTCAATCCATGAATTGTTATCAACATTCTGAAGTTTATAATATCACACCTTGGTGAAGGGATTAATGACCAGGAACATATGTCAGGAAAAAAATTCACCAGAGGATGATGGAAATATTGAGCTCAATGCCTGGAAGATTCATAGATGCACAAATGTCATACCTTTAAGAAGTATTTAGAAATACGCTTGTGATGCAAGGTGTATAATGCTAGGGGCCAAGTGCTGGACAATGAGATTAGAATAGTTAAGTGGTTGTTTTTGACTGTCACAGACTTGATGGGCCATGGTTCCTTTTTCTGTGCTGTTTACCTCTTTGACTATGTTTCCCCAGACTGATGAGTCTAAAACCAGGGGAAATAATCTCAGGATATGGGGTTGGTCATTTAAGATTAAGGTGAGGATGAATTTCTTCAACCAGACGGAAGTGAATCTTTGAAATTCTCTCCTACTGGGGTCTGGAAAGCTCAATCATTGAGTGTGTTCAAGACAGCAATCAGTAGAGCTCCAGACACACATAATTGAAATGAACATGAAGATGGAACATGGAAGTGGCATTGAGGTAGATGATCACCTATGACCAGAATGGAGTAGTTGAGCTGGCTTAATGAGCTGTATGGCCCACTGCTCTTATTATGTTCCACTATCCTAATGAAGAAATCTTGCCACAATTGTATGAGGCATTGGTATGGCTACATCTGGAATTCTGTGTGTAGGTGTGGTCTCCATGCTTAAGTGTGAATATTTTTAAGTCAACCTGTTCAGATATGTTATGACATACATCTGGGTGCTTGAACTCATGCCTTCTGGCCCAGAGATAGGGACACTACCAGAGCACCACGGCACCACAAGACTGTTTTAAGGAAGGATGCACTTGCATTGGAGACAGCACACCAAAGGTTCATTAGGTTGATCCCTAGGGTGAGAGGATTGTACATTGATGAGAAGATGAATTATTGAGACTCTGTTGTCTGGAGTTGAGAAGATCTCAAAGAAATGATCTTAATGAAACATTCATGATTATAAACATTGACCGGGTAGATACTGAAAGTTTGTTTTTCTCTCTGTCTCGGGAATCTAAAACTTGGGGTTAAAGTCTCACAAGTGAGAAGTTGATCATTTAGGATCGAAATGAAGAGAAATTTAGTTTTCTCAAAGGGATGTGACTTTTTGGAATTCTCTGCCTCAGCTGGCATGTTGTCATCATTGAATTTATTTACGGTTGACAGATTTTTGGTCTCAAGATCAGCCATGGTTGTATAATATGGAGGAGATGGCTCAACAGACTATACAGTTTTCTCCGAGTCCTGTTTCTTACATTCCTACATTTAAAGAAATATTTATGATCCAAATAGTAATAAACTGTGGTTCATTAAAATAAGTTCATTGTTTATTTCTAGCCTGAATATTTTGTATCTCTAAATTCTTCCAGGCCTTCAAGCCTTACCCAGAATTTTCATTCTTCTGACCACCATGTCCTAATATCCTATGCTCCTCCATCCCACAATTCCTGAGTAACCGAAACCCTTAATTTTGGTATTTGCTGCATAAACTATTCTGTGTTAGCTCAGGCTCATTTGGAAGCACCCATGCCTCTGAATCAGAAGCTTGTGGTTTTAAGTTCCATTCCAGAACTAGAGACAAAAAAGCTAAACAGCTCCCTCTCCAGTGTGCAGAGTACTGCGCTGTCAGAGGTGCAGTTTCTTGGATGAAACATTAAATGAAGATCCTATCTGTCCTGTCTGTTAAATGTGAAAGTTTCGGAGAAAGGATTTACTCCTGGTCTCCAAGACAGTATTTATCGTTGCATCAACATCACAAAACCAGATTATCTAATCATTACCATATTGTTTATGGGATCAGGCTATGTCTAAATTAGCTGTAATGATTTCTACATTTCTATGTTCCACACTAAAATACTTCATTGGTTGTAAAACGCTTTGCGATGGCCTGATTTTGTGAAGGGTGATGGATACATATAGTCTTTCTTTCACATTATGCTTATCTTTGGAGTTTTTATAAGGAGGGTACCAACATCCTTATAAAAACTCCAAAGATAAGGATAATGTGAAAAAAGCTGGAGGAGCGGAAAAGAAAGACGAGGAGGGTACCTCATCTTCTTTTTCAGCTCCTCCGGCTTCTACTCATCTCTTCTCTCGTTTCTTCATTTGCTTGTAATTGATGGAGGATTTTGGAGTTTGAGGCTTTGGAGAACTTACTTAATTTACTTTAGATATACTTGTGCACCTCCTTGAAGAAATGTAGTAGATTATTAAATACATTATGGAAGCACGGAAAGTTTTTTGTTCTTAGCACCTATTTGTTGAGAATAATTTGGACCTAGATTTTTATGGTAATAAACTTTTTCCCTGTCTGACCTATTCTTACATTTGTCTTTAATGTAGCTGAACCAGAGGTCCATTTGTCCACAGATCACATTACTGTTCAGAATGGAACAGAGAGATCTGTGAGTTGTAATGTTAAAGGATTTTACCCTAAGAAACTTACTCTCACCTGGGAAAAGGAAACAACTAAGGGAATTGAGGAACTAAAAGATCATTTCTGCACTGGTGCCCTAACTTCCATGGATGATGGAACTTTCAGTGTTTCTAGTAGACTAAGGATTGAACCAACATTGAAAGATAATGGTAATGAGTACAGGTGTATCGTGAAACACCATTCATGTCCCAAAGATATCATCAGGACAACTCGACTCACAGTTAAAGGTGTGTTCTCTTTGCAAAATATTTTTTACTCTGCTTTTGTTAAACCATACACATTTAAGGAATTTATACCCTTTGTCTAATGTTGAATTTCAACTGAAATATGCGTCTGACTTAAATCAGGAGTTCATTCTTTTCCTATTACGCAACTAAATTATTACTGCATACAATAATGACTATTAAGATTAACTAGATATGACATTTCTAAATCTCAAAATGTGATCCAACTATACACGTGTTCAAAAGCTGTTAGAGTTACATATGAATTGCTTTTAGAATCAGTTTTAATGATTTTTATGAAAATGCTAGCAAAAATAATTAAGTAGGGTTATGTTGAAGTTGACTGTACAGTGGAGTCTGCTTATGTTCATACGGTTGATAGTGTCCAAATCAAATCGAAAATATTGGGAAAAAGCGAGAAAAGGTTAACTTTTTTTCAGTCGATATTCTCCAACTGAGTTATAGAGGTAAACACTTATTAAAGATTGGAAAAATAGTTAAAGGGGAAAAGAGGCAATCATCGGTACACAAACCTGATTAATTATATATAAAGTAGGTCTATGATTAATGTTGTAGTTCCATTCCTGACAATCACTACTTTAGATGTAACAACTTGAAGTTAACCATGGATTCCCATAGCATTCGGTGTTAAAGAGAGAGTTGGGTTCCTTTGGACGTCTCTAGACTCCCAAAACATTTATTTGCCTAGAAAAACCAACATATTGAAATATTGTGCCATACACATGGGACACTGTGCATTCCTAGCCAAAATAGTGTACAAAATAAAATAAATCACTGACTGTAACGAGTACTGTGTAAATTCACATTTATTTATTTTAAAAAAGGTCCCAGGATTGTTGAACTGTTTTATTTCTCCAGATAGGTCTATTTGCAACACGTAGTGCCAAATTTGGTATTGGTGATACCAAATGAACATTAATGGTTTCAATCTAGATCCCTTAATTTCAAAACTGTCCAGCAGTATTCTTTACCGGGGTGCAGCTCTGAAACAATAGTTTCAGTCGTCATTTACGTAAATTATAACAATGTTGGTGTAACTTAATTTCCTTGATAATGAGTGTGATGTTCTGTGATTATCCCCCTCTACCCTAGAAATTTTTTTTTACTTCAGATGATACCGAAATAGCTGGTGAGTACATACCGTGAGGTCGGTGGATTCCTCTGCATGAGGCTTGGGCCTTTTTTTTTCTCAGATCAACCTGTTTAGATCAGTTGTGACACACATCTAGCGTAGATGGGAGATAAATATGGGTCTCCTGGCTCAGGTGTAGACTCTACCACTGCACCACCAGAGCTCCACCTGAGCCATTTTTAACTCTTTTTAACTTCCTGCCAGAAGCCAGCGTGATTTTGTTTTTAAGGGACGACATTAACTGTACAGGACTGTTATTTCAAATTCTTTTAAAACATTATTGTGTTTAATTATCTTAAATTATTGTTTAATACAACACAGCAAAGCTGTGACAGTTCGCGTGGGATAGTTTATTTTTTGTGGTGATTTTAGATTAATTGCTTCTTTACTTGTGTTTCAAATTTCAGAGCCTGAGAGAGATTCTTCAGTTGGAGCAGTTGTTGGAGCAGTTGTTGGAAGCATAGTTGGTGCATTCATTATTTGTGGAGCTCTATTAATTGCATGGTTCCATTGGAGAAGTAAAAAAGGTACCATATCCACTTGTGAATATATTATTCCTGTAATTTTTTAGCTACTTCTTGCATGTATTACCTATAAAAGTCCTTGGGGTGGTTGTGCTCCTTAAGTCAAGTCCCCATAGTCTCGGATGAACGTGCTGTCATTAGGGGGAGGTTGACTGTTGGTGGTATAATTTGAGGGTCACCACACTTCAGAAGAGGGGAGTGGTTGAGAAAGAAGAGCCTTCATGGTAACTTAAGGCGATGCAGGAATGAACCACACTGTTGGCATCACATTGTATCACAAACCAGCTTTCAAGCCAACTGAGCTGTTTGTGCTCCTATTTTGGTGTTATATACAGAACTTGGAACTTGGAGTTTACATTTTAGCTGCGATTGGCAAACCAGTCACAAATAGTTTTGTTTGTAGCTTTTCTATTCAAACACACATTGCACATTGCGTTGATTCACGTCAAAGTTTTTTTTCTAATTTACTCAGGTTTTGTGGATGTTGCTGTCTGAGCCAGCATTTATTGCCTATTTATAGTTACTTTTGAAAGGGCTGCAGTGGGCTACCTCTTGAACCACTGCAGTCCATTTAGTGCTGGTACACCCACAATGCTGTTAGGGAAGAAAGTTCTAGGATTTTGGCCTGGCAACAGTAAAGGAGTGGTGAGAGATGCCCAAAGCTGAGTGGTGAGTAGCTTGGAGGGCGACTTGCAGGCGGTGATTTTCCCATTGTATCTGCTGCCCTTGTTCTTTGAAATGGTAGTGATTGTGGATATCAAAGGCACTGTCCAAGGATGATTGGTGAATTTCTGAAAAGTATCTTGTAGGTGGTACACACTACTGCTACTGAGTGCCTGTAGTGGAGAGACTGAATGTTTGTCGATGTATTGCCAAGGCTGCTTGATGTGGATCATATCAAGATTCCGAAGGAGGCGGAGATGAATTGTCCACTTGGCAGTTCTGGCTGAAAATGGCAGCAAATGCTTCACTTTTTTTTTGCAAGGACTGTTGGGCCACCCACTATTGAGGACGGGGACATTTTCTGATCATTCCTCTTCCAGTGAGTGGATGTGGCAGGACTGCAGAGCTTAGATCTGATCTATTGTTTGTGGGATCCCTTAGCTCTGTCTATCACTCGTTGCTTATGCTGTTTAGCATGAAGCTATTCCTGTTCTGTAGCTTCACCAGGTTAATTCCTCATTTTAAGATATGCCAGGTGCTGCTCCGGGCTTATCCTCCTGCGCTCTCCATTGAAGCACAGTTGATCCCCTAGTTTGATACTAATGGTAGAGTGGGAGTGGGGGGGAGATATGCTGGGCTGCGAGGTTGCAGGTTGTTTTGGAGTACAGTTCGGCTGCCGTTGATGGGCCACAATGCCTCACGGATGCCCAGTCTTGAGTTGGTAGATCTGTTCAAAATCTGTCCCATTTAGCATGGTGATAGTGCCACACAACATTATAGAGGATATTCTCAATGTGAAGGCAAGACTTTGTCTTCAAAGTCAATGCAGCGTTCACTCCTATGGATACAGTTATGGACAGAATCATCTGTGGCGGTCAGATTGATGAGGATGACATCAACTACGCTTTTCCCTTTTATTGGTCCCCTTACCAACCATGCGGCAGACCCAGTCCAGCAACTATTTCCTTTAGAACTTGGCCAACTCAGTCAGTAGAGCTGCTGCCGAGCTATTCTTAGTGATGGATGTCGAAGTCTCCCCACCCTGAGTACATTATGTGCCTTTGCCACCCTCAATGCTTCCTTCAAATACCGTTCAAATGGAGATATCCTGATGCATCAGTTCGGGTGGGGATAGGGGCTACAGGGTATGTGTTTGACCTGATGACATGAGTTACATGGGGCGTCAAGTCAATGTTGAAGAGACGAAGGGCAGTTCTGTTGTGACTGTATACCATTGTGCTGCATGGGACAGGACATATTCAGGGATGGTGATGGTGCTGCCTGGGATGTTGTATATGACTACGTAAGGCTGTTGCTTGACTAGTCTGTGGGATAGTTCTCTCAATTTTGACACTAGCTCCCAGGTGTTCGTAAGGGGTGTTTTGCAGGAATGACAAGTTTGTTGTTGTCATTTCCAGTGTTCTTGTCAATGTCAGGCGTTCCATTCGGTTTAATTCCTTTTTACCTTTCCAGCTAGTGTCTTGCTAGGCCATTTCAGAGGGCAGTTAAGAGTCAACTACTTTGCTTTGGGTCTGGAGTCGCATGTAGGCCAGACCAGGTAATGGCAGCAGTTTCTTCCCTAAAGGATATTAGTGAGCAAGATGGGTTTTCCTGACAATTTCACAGTCATCATTAGACTTTCAATTCCAGAATTTTAACAGTGGGATTTGAACCTGTGTTCCCAGAAGGTTACCTGAGTCTCTGGATTAGTAATCCAGTGATAATACTGCTCGGCCATCACCCTCCCACTTTCACATGTCTTCATAGAATCCCTATAGTGTGGAAACAGGCCCTTCGGCCCAACAAGTCCACACTGACCCTTGGAGCATCCCACCCAGATCCACCCCCGTATAACCCACACACCCTTGAACACTACGGGCAATTTAGCACGGCCAATCCACCTAGCCTGCACATCTTTGGACTATGGGAGGAAATCGGAACATCTGGAGGAAACCCACACAGACATGGGGAGAATGTGCAAACTCCAAACAGACAGTCACCCGAGGTTGGAATCGAACCCGGGTCCCTGGTGCTGTGAGGCTGCAGTGCTAACCACTGAGCCACTGTGCCTTCTACATTTGGTAATCAGGTATTGATTAAGAGCAATTTTTTGTTTCTTTTCAAATTTTTCTTTAAATTTATTTAAGCATAGTAAAGCTAAAATTATAACATGGTTACAGTATAGAAGGAGGCTGTTTGATTAATTAAATCCATACTGGCTGTCTCTCAGAACAGTACAGCTGGTTTCAGTCTGCCTTTTCCCTGTTGCCCCCATAATCTCTTTTTCTAGTACTTAAAAATCAAATTGTCTTTTGCAAGACTTAATTGAATCCTTTTTAAGAAGTGCATTCCATCTCAAGAGCATTTGCTGCTTAAAAAGATTTGTCCTTATTTCGGCCTTGCTTTTCTTTTGCCACGATTTTTCCCCCTTTGATTCTTGACCCTTCCACTAGTGGGAACAGTGTCCATCTGCCGTGTTTGGACCCTTGTGATTTTGAATGGCTGTATCAAATCTCTTTCTAACCTGCTGTGCTCTGACAAGGACAAGCCCAGCTTCTCCAATTTTTTTGATGTAATTGAAATCTTTCATCCCTGGAACCATTCCTCACTTCTGTATCCTCTTAATAAAATGTGAAACTTCAGACTTCCCTGCATTATGTTTCTCAGCCACTTGCCCACCTACCATTCCAGACTGCCTATATCTTCTTGCAGTGTATCAGCAGCCTTGTCACAGTTCACTAAATTACCACATTGTATGTCATCTAAGGATTTTGAAGTTTTTTTCCCATGCACCCAAGTCCAAGTCATTAATATGTCTCACAAAAAGCAGCAGTCTATAGTACTAACGCTTAAGAGCATTAGAATTAGGAATAAAGCCATTTGGCACCATATCGTTGATCTGATTGTGCCTTTAACTCCACTGAATCCCTGAGAAACCCCATTGTATAATCTGGCTCCAGCCTGAGAAACAATCATTCGCCACCTCTGCCTGTTTCCTGTCTCTCAACCAATTTCGTATCCACACTGCCAGTGTCCCATTCATTTCATGGGCTTCACATTTGCTGACAAGTTTATTAAGTGACACTTCTTTGAACACCTCTTGAACATCCACATAGATTGTACAACTACATTATCTTCATCAATCCTCTTAGTTGTCCCTTCAAAATAAGTGATCTTCCTTGAGCAAAACTGTGCTGGCTTTCCTTAATAAATTTATGCTTGTTCAACTGATGGAGAGATGATTTTGAGAGAAAATTAACAAGGCTTCCACACCACTGAGGTTAAACAGACAAGCTTTCATTTGCTGGAATTATCCTCATTATTTTTTTGAACAGGTTTTGTAATTCTTCAGTTCCCTGGCACCTCTCTCATGTCCCTGGGAACAAAAGTACCTAGGCTGGTGCAGTTTTCTCACGCATATGTATACTGTGGATTTCACAATGAAAACAATTTAATCCGTGTCTTGGGCTAGCATTTATTGCCTATTTCTAGTTGCTCTTGAAAGGAGTGCAGTGGCCTACCTTCTTGAACTGCTGCAGTCCATTTGGTGCAGGTTACCCAATTTAAAACAATATAATTTAGATGTATAGAGAACAATTTATTAGTTTGGTTTGTGTGCAGTAATCAGTTTCTTAGTAATTTAAAAGAAAAATGCTATTCAAAAGCTTTTAAATCTTGACTGCTGGTGTCCATGTATCTTTCAAAAAGGCTCATTTTGAGAGAAATGTAAAATACTGCAGGTACTGAAAATATGAAATTATAAGCTGATAATGCTGGAAAACCTCAGCAGACCCAGCTAAGTTCTGCTGAATGAATATTGACCTGAAGCATTGATTGTGTTTTCTCTCTGTGGTTGCTGGTGCCCTGCTGAGTTTTTATTACTCTTAATTTTAAGAGGCTCCTCAAAAGCTCGCAATTGGTCCAGTTAGTAGGGGTTGTAGTAATAATTAATTAAATCTTGGTGTGGGACCAGCTTCTAGCACAAAAGACAGAATTTTTGCTTGCTACCTCTGAAATTAAGTGCTATGTGACAATGGCTATTGGCGACTTTGTCTACTCGCCAGAGGTTAAGGACCTAAAGTGGTCTATTAATCTCCACTTGTGGGCATTGCCCCACCAGTTCCTTGATCACCTACCTCCCCAGGAGGGAAGAACAGTGGCTAGTCTCCCAACTAGAAAACCAGGGTGGCCTACCTGCAAGAGGGTCACCTCTGAAATTTCTCTGCCCTTGACAACAACATCCTCCATCCCCCAAAGCCTTGCCAATCACCACCTCCTCCACAAATGTCCACATCTTGTGAGAAGACGATAAAAGACACAACTTCTCATTGCTGGATCACCCACAGAATAGATTTTGACCAACAGACACTGGGACTCAGGGACTTCGATGCTCTTGCTCAGCTCTTAATGAACTGATTCTGTGGCAATAGGGTGAGTTATCTTACTGGTGTAGGTGACATGTAAGCTACCTAATGTATTCGCTTTGAGATCAGAAGGGGAAAATCCCAGCCAAAGTTTCCATTGGATGTAATTTACATGTTTTTCATCTGTTTTTGGATTGAGAAAAGACAGCGTAAACCTTTCTGAAATTCTCGCTTATGTATCCTGGTGTTTGCTAATGTCATTGGACTAGTAATCCAGAAGCCCAGGCTAATGCTTTGGAAAACATTGATTCAAGTCCCATCACAGCAACTATTGCAATTAAATTCAATTAATAAATCCAGAATTGAAAGTTACATATGACTCCAGACGTGCGCCAGTTTACTTGAATCTCAACTACTGTCTGAAATGACTGAGCAAGTCCCTCCATTCAAGGGAAATTCAGCATGGGCAACAAGTGTTTGCTCTGCCAGTGACATCCTCATCCTATGAAAGAATAACTTAAAAAAAACACAGAATCATTGACTTGCATTTGCACTCTGCCTGCAGCCTAGCAAGGAAATGAAACAGAGTAAGCAAATAAGAACATTTACATTGTTAAGTTTTAATCTTCTTTATTAGTTCCTCCAGAAATTATTGAAATGAAACCCCCTTCCGTCATTCACCATTTGGAAGAAGATTTCATCGATTACCAAGTCTATGGATTTAGACCTTCGAAGATTCGAGTTGTTTTAATCTTGAAGAGGAGAGAGAATGGAAATGGAAAAAAAATTTTAGAATGGCATAGCACAGATGGGAATAATATAAATAATGTACAATCAATGTGCCAAAATAATCAAGATGAAGTGCAGCTTCTTGTAAATAGTTATGAAGAGGATAAATCTTTTTCACCTTTTGAACCAACTTTATCCTGTAACAGTAATAGGACTTTCAAGTTACAGGGCATAGTCAAAGTCTGTCCTGATGTGAAAAGTGATAATGGGGCTGAATTAATTCTTCAAGTTTATCATGACACTGTTTCCCAACCCAAGTCAAAAGCTATAACACTGGATGTTAAAGCAGGTAAATCATGTACACGTTATTTTCACAATTTTTTTTATCCTTCATGAATCCATTCTGTTTTTTTCTGTAAACTTGTGTATTTGTCCATACAATGTAATATATTGTTAGTAGTGGTCGTGTAGTTTTGCCACCTGGAGTCTGTCTACATTATAGAAAATGCAACCTGTGATATTAATATTTTTTTTCTTATTAATACATGGAAATTCTTTCAGTTTCAAGAGATGACTTCTTTATTTTGTTTCCCTTTCCTAAAGTCCCGCCAAAGATTTCAAACATTGTGGTGCCACTTCATGTCTATCATAATGAGCCTGCAGCCTTGATTTGTTCAATAATTGGATTTAAACCAAAATCTCTTCAAATCACATGGCAACAAATCAGGAAGGATAATAAAGTGGAACTTGTTCGATTGCATCAGGACAGGACCATCTTTGCTACTAACAATGGTAACACGTGCAAGTATCATCATCAAATCAGTGAAGTAGAATATGAAGATAAATCCTATGGTATTACCAGTGTCCTAGTTATTTTGCCAGATATACTGCAAGACCAAGACACAAGGTATATCTGTGAGGTACAACATGACGACTCTGACACTATCAAGCAGAAAGATACAATTCTGCGAATTACAGGTATGTCATTCTTCTGACATCCCTTGTATAGAACTATGGATTAAATGTATTTACTTATACCATTTTCTCATTTTTGTCTGTTAAAAGCCTGCGGTGTATTTAATCTTTTCATTTCTTTTTCAGCCCCACCAAAATTGGACAGGATAGTGTGTGATGCAGAAAAACCAGTTGCAGGAGAGTGCGTGACTTTGCAGTGTCAAATACATTCTTTTTACCCTCCCGGAATCATAATAACATGGTTGAAACAAGGTGAAAAAGTGACAGAAAAATTTGAACAAAGTGAACCCACTCTGGGAATTGATGGACTCTATCACTTGACAACTAGTGTAAAGAGTACACTGAGCAGAATTGATGTTGGGAAGAAATACACTTGCCAAGTAAGCCATGAAAGTCTAGAACAGCCATTGGAAGTTGACTGGATGGTTGGTCAACTCAGTAAGTAACTATTGTTAAATAATCATGCAGAAACTATAAGACCATGAAACTTGCTAAATCATAGAATCCCTACAGTGTGAAAGCAGGCTGTTTGGCCCGCTGAGTCCACAGCAACCCTCCAAAGAACATTCCACCCAGATCCACCCCTCCCAACCTTATCCCTGTAACTCTGCATTTCTCTTGGCTAATTCACCTAACCAGCATATTCCTAGGCAATATGAACAATTTAACATGGCCAGTCCATCCAACCTGTACATCTGTGGACTTTGGGAGGAAACTGGAGCACCTGGAGGAAACCCACATAGAAATGGGGAGAATGTGCAAACTCCACACAGACAGTTGCCTGAGGGTGGAATCGAACGTGGATCCCTGGTGCTGTGAGGCAGCAGTGCTAACTACTGGAGCTCTGTGCCATGTGAATAATCTCCAAATTAAACAAACTACCAAGATTCCACTTATTTTTTGTAGCTTTACATTGGTACAAATCAGAACCACCAAATTGAACATGAATTAGCAGACATGTGAAAAGGTAAATTTGCTTTATATAGTTAATACAACAAGATACAGCATATGCAACCACAACTGTTTGCCTCACTTATTGCTCAAAAGTTCTTTATTCACATGGGGTAGTTCAGGAGTCCTATCTGACAATAACTTTCACCTCCAAGGTTCACCGGTACAATTATCATCACTATTAACACACACCCCTACAGTATCTTCTGTTCCTTGCAGCATTGACATTCTTGAGTGTGTAGCTTTCAAAGTTCCTTTTCAGTTGAACAACCAAAAACAACCTGGTTCATGGTTTGGCCACTTCTGGGAAAACACCAAGCTCTCTGGTGTCTCTGAGCTTTCAACCAGGTTGTTCAAAGCCTCCCAAAGATTTCTATCTGTTTTCCTGCAAAACAAAAAACTGATCACTTCATGAAGGTGATTTCTTTCCTGTCCTCACTGGGTTATCTGTGTTTATCTTTCTGTATCCGTGTGCTAGTTACCTTCACAAGTTGCCAGGTTACTAGTCATATGGACTAGTATTTCATAGTACCCAAGAAAATTATAATTGATCCTTTTATAATTAGTTCAAACTCTTAAAGTCTTTCTCACACATTTGTATAAACAGTTTCAAATTTCACAGACTTTTAAGCACATTACATACAGGATTCTCCTCTCATTACTTGTTTATTTGGATAGCTGTATTCATGACTGCATATGGCAATACTGCAGAGCTTTATATTGGTCCATTGGTATTGTCATTTGTCCACTCTGTCTGAAGCATCTACTTCAGCAGTTTCACATAAATGATAGTCTTCTCTTGTCGCTTCCCCAGGTTGACATGTTGTTATTTTTAGATGTTCCTGATGCTGCTCCTGGCATGCTGTAATACACTCCCTATTGTACTAGGCCTAATCACCTAGCTTGTTGGCAATGATCGGATAAAAGATATTGACAGCCAAAAAGTACTGATTGTGGTGAATTATAGCACCTCATGGATGCAAAGTTGTAAGCTGCTAGATCTGTACTAATGTTATCCCATTTACCATATTTTTCATGTTGCATAATATGGTGGAGAGAATCTTCTGTGTAAAGATAGGATTTCACTCCAACCAGTCTGGCATTTACTGAACTATTTGCTTCTCCACCAATACATCTATTACAATCAAGAAAGATTTTTCTTCACTTTGATTGGCTTACTTGCAGCTACCCTACTTGCAGTTGATGCATTCTTCATTTCTGAGTGTATATTCCATGCCCTTGCAGGTCTCAGTCCTTTGTATAAGTTGTGTTTGAGAAATATTGATTGATCAGCCAAAAGCAAACGATAGGTGGTAATCAGCAGGAGGTTACCTTGCCCATATTTAAGCTAATGCCATGAGACATCATAGGGCCTGAAACTGAAATAGAAGACACCCAGGGCTAATCTTTGTCATCTCCTGTGGATCTGTCCTGTTGCTCATTAAGGACATACCCAGGAATATGGACGATGAGTCTAGGGTGTTGGCTGACTTTTATAATTCTATGAGTATAACAATGTCATGTTGATGCTTGACAATTGCTTGGAACAGATCTTCCAATTTGACGTTAGTCCCAAATGTCAGTGAGACATTTACAGCATTGTTGTGACTGGTGTCTGTGTCACCGCCAGGTGCTGAAATTTACAGCACAAGGATAGAAATGGAAATAAAGATTTGCTTGGGAGAGTTTAACGTCCAGGAAAGATGGAAGAAAAGCAAGATAAAAGTTATGTAAAAATTGCCTTTGGAATGATGATTTCCTAAAGTTGTCAACAATTAGTACCTGAAGAAACTTTAATTTTTTAGTACTTTGTTTCTGTCTTAGCTCCTCTGTTGAAATTCTCATTCATACATTTATTAGCTTTTAGACATGACAGTCCCAATGCGTTCCTGACTGGTCTCCCAAATTCTACACTGTGCTAACTTGAGATCATCTAAAACGTTGCTGCCCTTTTAACTTTCATCAAATCCCTATTTCATTCACCCCTGTGCTCATTGACCTTGCAATGGCTCACTGTGAAGCGACATTTTGATTTTCAAATTTTCATCCTTGTTTTTGTATCCCTCTGTGGTCTTGCCCCCTCCTACCTGTGTAACTCCACCCACCACCACAATCCTCCAAGATCTCTGCGTCTCTTGAATTCTAGTCTTTTGTTCATCCTTGATTTTAATTGCTGTGCTATTGGTTGTCTAGTCAGTTGTCTTTAGGCTTAGATATTTTCTAATGCACTTGTTCAGCCAGATGTTATTCCACACCTCTGGAGTAGACAGGACTTTAGATCTCAGCTCTCCTATCTCAGAGGTAGGGTCACTACCACTGGGGCACAAGAGCCCCTTCACTTGGTCTTATTACTCACTTATTAAAACCTCCCTGTTTGATTAAGCCTTGATCTAATGCCGTCCTTTATGGCTCACTGCTGTATTTTGTTGTATAATTCTTAATGTCTTAAGATATTGAATTATGTTAAACGCATTAGATAATTGTAAGTTGTTAACTTTCAGCCCCAGAGGAATTAATTAGCAGTTTTCAACATATGGTTGAGGGAGCCTTTTAAGCTCCCTAAAGTTCTTTTGCTTGAATCCATTGTCCACAATGGGTTTCTTGTCTGACTTCAGATCAACCTCGTAACTTTCTGCGGTGAGTTCAGAACAGCCTAAATTCTCTCTGGCATGTTTAGTTCATCCATTGTTATATAAATTCAGCAGCTCTGTACCATTGTGGTATGCTCACAAATCTGATGGCAACTTGGACTGTACATTTTCCGTGCATGAGCTAAGCCAGACCTCAACCCTTTACCTGATCTTTCTTTGCAATTTTCTGGATCAATCACAGCACATACCATTTGCCTCATCACTATTTCAACAACAGAATCTGGCTTGGGTATTAAATACTGTAGTTGGGATTGAAAAATGAATAAATGAATTAAGGAAAAAAAAATCTGAAACTAATATTCAAATTTAAATTAATGACTGAAATTACCAGCAGACTACTTTTGCATTGTAAAGGGTCTGTAGAGAATGCCAATAATCTGGAGTGATCTGATTTGAGATAAGGGTGCACCCAAAAATTGAATTAACTTGGTTGTTTTCTTCTATAGAATGACAGAATTATGAAATTGCCCCTCATTTCTGCACCACCTCTCTATCAATGGGGCACGAGAGCCCATTCACTTGGTCTTATTGCTGACTTGCTAAAATCTCCCTCTTTGATTAAGCTTTGATCTAATGCCATCTTTTGTGGCTCAGTGCTGTACTTTGTTGAATCATTCTTGTATTCTAATGTATAATAACTCTCTAAATGAGCTTTTTACTTATGGCCACCCTCTCCCTCTATTTTCACTTCCTGAGGAAATTGCAGTTGTTTTAGTTTGCTGCCTATGAAAGCTATTCCATTTGATCTTCTTTGTTGTTTAAAAATACCAGAATTAAAACAAAAGCCCAAAATAATTGCAAACAAAAATAAGAAAGAAAGACTTGGGTAGAACCTTTTTGAATGATAGGCTCTGGTGAGGTAGAATAAAGAAAAGGTTATATCTTCATTGAAATAATTTCAATACTTAAGTTCCGTGTCCTAAAGCAGCACAGTACATACAAACATCAATTGGTACTCCTCGGATGCCTGCCTGTCTGACATATACTGGGTTATATCACGATTCTGGAAGGACTGTCATACCTAATTTAGTTTTTATAACCCCTTCGCAAAACTAACCAAGATGCCACTGTTACAAAATCCAACCTGCAAGTATGTGGAAAATTAGGCTTGAATGGCCTCACGATATTCAATAACAAAGTTGCTGGAAAAGCTCAGCAGGTCTGGCAGCATCTGTGAAGGAAAAAACAGAGTTAGCGTTTTGGGTCTCGTGACCCTTCCTCAGTTCTGAGGAAGGGTCACCGCTGAGGAAGGGTCACCGGACCCAAAACGGTAACTCTGTCTTCTCCTTCACAGATGCTGCCAGACCTGCTGAGCTTTTCCAGCAACTTTGTTTTTGTTCCTGATTTACAGTATTGGCAGTTCTTTCGGTTTTTATCACGATATTCAATGTTTTGTCCCAAAATTGATGAGTCGCCAATTCTGTCTGAAACTGAAGCACTGGCTGCAGCTCTATGCCTGTGTGACGGTGCGGTGGGGGAGGGGAATGAGGGGCGGTGAAATGCAACACTTTGTTCAAGAAAACAACATTTGACAATTTGTTAAGGGATACTTGAGATCTTTAAAAATAGTGGCATTTTCATTAATGCAAACTCAAAAACACTGTTTATTTTGTTTGTCTGCAGTATTAGCACCAAAGGTAACAGAAGTTACAGTTGATCCTGTTCACCCGGAGGTGGGAAAATCAGTAATCCTTTCCTGTAAAGCTTACGATTTCTATCCAAAAGACAACGAAATATTCTGGCTCAAAGGGTTTGAGAAAACTAAAGATGGAGTTGAAATGGATGACATTGTATTCGATAGATCATCTGGTTCGTACTCTCGATGGTCCAAAAGGACATTCATTCCAACTTACATGGACCACGGAAAAGAGTTCAAAATGCAAATTCTTCATGCTGGGACTTCAGATAAGCCTGTCTCATCCAGTCATGTTTTGACAATATTTGGTAAGCCTGGTTCCAACAAGATTTCAGAGTAACAATTACAGAATGTTGAAACATTATTTAGAATGGATAGATGTTTCAAGTTCATTAAGTTGACTTATTTTTTGTAAAGAAGGTTGTTTAGTCCATTAAGTTAGGTCTAATGATCCATTTCATAGAATCCCTACAATGCTCTCCATTTGGTCCATCATGTCCATACCCACCCTTCTGCCCAGACCCTACCTGATCCCTGTAACCCTGTATTTCACATGGCTAATCCCCATAGCCTGCACGTTCCCGGACACTGTGGGCAATTTCGCATGGGCAGTCCACCTAACCTGCACCTCTTTGGACTGTAGGAGGAAACCGGAGCACCTGGAGGAAACCCAAACGTGGGGAGAATGTGTAAACTCCACACAGTCACCCAAGGCTGGAATTGAATCTGGGTCCCTGGCGCTATGAGGCAATAGTGCTAACCACTGAGCTACTGTGCCGTAGAATATATCGCAAGATTTCACTTTTACAAAAACCAACAAAGCAAATTTTATATGGAACAAATTAAACAAAGCAAACATGACATAATGTTTTATAACTATGTGTATTGTGCACTCCAGTTTACTTCTTATTGCCCCTAAGAATTATCTTCTGAGATTAATCAATCTTTAAAGTTATTTACTTCTGTAGGGACCATTGATAAGTAAGCCTCAGCTTTCTGGAAATGCTCCTTGGTTTCAGCTGTTTTCCTCAATAAGACATTAATTTACCTTCTCTTGACTGAGGATGCATCAGTCCCTTATTCTACTCTTCATCACTTAAAAGGAAGAACAGCTTAGCTTCTGTAACACAAAACTTCCAAGGGACCATTGTAGATTTTCCATTCATTTCAAGCTGCACAATCTTCCATCTTCTGTTCTCCCATAAAGTCCAAATTGAGATTAAGCTATCCCCGCTCCAAAATACGTAAATGATCGTATTAGTTTTTACTCTGTTTAGAGTGCAGATCTGTCTACCTGTCATCTATTTCGGTTATCATCTCTTAGTGAGCTATAAACCACATGAAATCCAATCTGCAACTAGCAAAGAGTCAATTAAATTGAAACCAGAAAATAATAATAATTTAACATGTTCAGGATTAATGATACCTTATTTAAAGTTTCTTCTTTAATGTGAATGAGTTTCACAATCTTCCAGCATTCACTAAATACTTTTAAACTAATTTTATTCTAAATCCCTGAACAAAGATGTCTCCAAGACCTCCCAAACTGTGAGGAATACAAAAATCACATTTCCAGGTTTATTTTAATGCCGTAAAATCATCTGCTGTGTTATGATTTTACTTCTCTAACTGTTAACCTCAAACAACAACATAGATTCATAGAATCCTTACAGTGCAGAAGGAGGTCATTCAGCCCATCAAGTCTGCACCGACTGTCCCTCGTTGGACTTCTTGCCTGATTCTGCTACACATCTCGCCATTGCACATGTCACTCAGACCCGTCTAAGATTCCACCTGCTGTTTCTACTGTTGGTCAAATGCTGCAATACCCTCTCGAACAGGAAGATGACATTGCTTTTATTTTGAAGATGAATTCAACACCGGCTGGAGAGTGTTTTCACTGACATTCCTAGTTTGCCAGTGACCTCCAAATCCATTTTAGTGGCTCCTTTGGCCCTAATTTGTGATATTCCATCATTGCTTCTGATTTGTTAATCACAGCTTAAACTTCTTGTATCATAAAGATTTTGAAAGTTCATTATTTTCTTTGGAAAGGCCCACAGTACAAAATGGTAGATTTGTGACATGTTCTGTTTCACTGACCAAATTTTGGTGGGAAAGGCTGGGGAGACAGATGTTCAAATATTTGTTGATGATGCTTAAACATGATGCTATAAGGTTTGTAATCACTTGTGGTTTCTTTCAATTTCAACAGGAATGCCATATGTTGAAGATATCAAACTTGACCCACCAGAAGCCAAATACGGTAGTGACCTTACTATGACATGTCGCATCACTAACTTTCTCCCACAAGACATTGATGCATCTTGGCAACAAAATGGCAACCGGGTAGTCAAGGGAATCACAGTTAAAGGACCTGTGAAGGAGAAAGATGGATGCTTTTCTGTGAAATCTCAGTTACAAATAAGACCAACTGCACAAAATTTTAATCAAGAATTTTCTTTCCAAGTGAGCCATATTAAATTAAAGACTCCAGTTACAAAAACAACAGTTTTAATACTTCCAGGTAGGTTTTACCATGACCCTTTTCTTTATAAAATTTGAAAAGTTCCGAGTCATTTTTAATTGTGGTTGACTAGGTCAAAGAGAATTAATTTGATTTCATCGTTAGAGACCAGGGAATGGGATGAAACAAACTATTTCAAGATAAATGACAGCGAGCAAATTAGAATTCAATAACTCCATAATTCTCAAGAATTCAACAGATTGTAGAAGAAACCTTAACTGGTGATGCATAAAAGAAGGATATTTGATTTGAGATCATTATGTTCACTGCTTTAAAAATATATCCAAATAAATTCAACTTTTGAAGTAATTCCGTTGATAGAAACTAAATCGCAGAAGTTCTGAACATTTTTGTTTTTGCCTCAGTTCGTCAGTCTTCTAAAAAATAACTTTTAATATGGATCTTTCTAATACAAGTTGGATAAAATAATTAATATTATGATTTTTGAATCCAGTTTTGTTTTGGTCTGTCTTTTCTGTGATAGTACTTTATGTGTGAGTGTTAATGCAGTGAACTTTATTCTTTGGGAGCTCCTTTGATATTTATAGGTAAAAATGTCTCTCACTGCTGCCATAAAGTGGTACATTGAAATACCCTACCACTATCTTTACTTTTAAGATCAGTGTTGTTTTCAAAAGAATCTTTTGAACATGATCATTAATTCTTCTTTCATAGATGTTGTGTACATTGCAGACTATAAATGTACGTTTAGTTTCGTTTTATATTGTTCATCTTAAAGATTAATGAATTTGCTTCAATAGCCAAATATTCATAAATTTTTTATTTGTTTTTCAGCTTTGTCTCCTACCTTGTCTTCTATTAAGGTTGATCCAAATTCTCTTGAAGTTAATCAGAATCTAACATTCAGTGTTACACTGACAAAATATGCTCCTGCTGCAGTTGAAGTAAAGTGGTTTAAAAACAAGACACCTTGTTCAGAAGTGATTAACAAACCTGCTGAAATTGCTGAGGATGGTCTTTTCTCATCAGTTACAAGCACAAAATTTGTTGTAACTGAGAAGGATCATGAGTGTGTCATCAGATGTGCGGTGTTTCATCCAGCAACAAAAGAAATTCAAGAGAAAACTTTCATGTTATTCCTTAAAGGTGAGTGCCATTTTGTTAGAGATGGGTTGAGAACAAAGCATTTCATCGCAATCATAAACAAAAACAGAAATTGCTGGAAAATTTCAGCAGGTCTGGCAGCACCTGTGGAGAGAAATCAGAGTTAATGTTTCAGGTCTAGTGACCCTTCCACAGAACTGAGGACAGGCCACTGAACCCAAAATGTTAACTCTGATTTCTCTCCACAGATGCTGCCTGACCAGCTGAGATTTTCCAGCAATTTTTGTTTTTGTTTCTGATTTACAGCATCTTTTGGTTTTTATTTCATTACAGTGTTATAATTGTCATGCTGAGTTTCTTGAATCCAATGTATTCATTTGAATGTTTACTTGACATTGAAACTTTATGTCGATAAACAGATTTTATCGCTGTTGCTGAGAATAGTTAATTTGTGATGATTTCAGATTCATTACTGTTAAGAGTTACTTAATACTCCAATATTCTAAGGATGTACTTCATTTAACTAACTCTTTCTGTGCTCAGGTATTAAAAATGAAGAATCGCCTTATTCAAATCTATCGAAAGATGAAGGTAAAGTGTCCATCTTGAAAGTTTTTGTTTTGTGCATGTTTGGTTGTAATCCATAGTGATGTCAGTGTAGGATTTCAGACTATGCACAAAATAATCTAGATATAACATTTCAGATGGAGAGGAGTGCTGTCTTCATTTCTGGCTATTAGAATGGATCTAATGGGTGATCCTTTAAAGTGAAGCAGGGATGATGTGATGCAATCCAGCATCCCATTTTCATCATCACTGCCCTAATTACACACAATTGTACCTGTGTTCAAATACAATTACTGTCTAGGGTTTCTAGCTGCTGGGAAAAAGACAAAAATGCCAAACACAAATATTCTTATTTCTTCCGTAATTTTGGATAGAGTATAGTTTGCTGTTCCTAATGCTTTATTCTCTGTAATTTGCCATGAATCTATCATGTCAGAAAAGGCACAACATACTTTTAATTTTGTAAGAATCCTATAAGGGAAAGGAAATCAGGTTAGTGAGTGTACAGTGGAAACCCATGACATCTACTCACCTGTGGAAGTAATGACCTTTTCCATGTTAGCCAAGAATGAGAAGGAATAGCACACAACTTCAATGCCACCATTGTTTTAATCAAAACTTGTAAAGTGCGTACATACATGTACCTGTAGTGATCCAGGTGCTACCTAATTAACAAGGTGGTGGGAGTTAGCTGGATCTTGTATTAATGTGAACTATTTATAGAGACATAGTCATACAACAAGAAAACAGACCCTCTGTCCAACTTGTCCAGACATCCCAATCTGACGTAGTCCCATTTGCCAGCATTTGGCCCGTATCCCTCTAAACCCTTCTTATTCATGTTTTAATTGTAATCACCTACACCACTTCCTCTGGCAGCTCATTCCTACACACCCCACCATCTGTGTGGAAAACATTGCCCCTTGGGTCCTTTTTAAATCTTTCCCCTCTCACCTTAAACCTTTGTCCTCTAGTTTTGGGCTCCCGCAACTTAGGAAAACAACCTAATCTATTCACCCTATCCATGCCTGTCATGATCTTATAAACCTCCATAAATTGACTCCTCAGCCTTTGATGCTCCAGGGAAAACAGCCCCAGCCTATTTAACCTCTCCCTATGACTCAAACCCTCCACTCCCAGCAACATTCTTGTAAATCTTTTCTGCACCATGTCAAGTTTAACAACATCTTTCCTACAAAAGGGCGACCAGAATAGTACACGGTATTCTAAAAGTGGACTCAACAATGTCCTGTACAGCTGCAGCGTGACATCCCACTCCTACACTCAGTGCTCTGACCAATGAAGACAAGCGTGCCAAATGCCTTTTTCACTACCCCGTGTACCTGCCACTCCACTTTCAACGAACTAATCACCGGCACGCCTAGGTCTCTTTTATTCAGCAACAGTCTACAGGGCCCTACCATTAAGTGTATAAGTCCTGCCCTGGTTTGGCTTACCAAACTGCAACACCTCACATTTATCTAAATTAAACTCCGTCTGCCATACCTCAGCCCATTGGCCCATCTGATCAAGGTCCCATTGTACTCTGAGATAACCTTCACTGTCCACTACACCACCAATTTTGGTACCATCTCAAACTTCCTAATCATACCTCCTATATTCACATCCAAATCATTTATATAAATTACAAAAAGCAGTGGACCCACCACTGATCTTTGTGGCCCATCGCTGATCACAGGCCTCCAGTCTGAAAAGTAACTCCCTATCACCACCCTCTGTCTCCTACCTTCAAGCCAATTTTGTATCTGATTGACTAACTCATCCTGGTTCCCATGTGATCTAACCTTACTGATCAGTCTACTGTGCAGAACCTTGTCAAATGCTTTGCTGAAGTCACAACAACATCTACTGATCTGTTTTCATCAATCTTCTTTGTCACCACTTCATAAAACTCAATCAAGTTAGTGGGACATGATGCCCCACGCACAAAGCCATGTTGACTATCCCTAATCAGTCCTAGTCTTTCCAAGTGCATCTAAATCCTATTCCTCAGAATCCCCTCCAACAACTTACCCACCACTGAGGTAAAGCTCACTGGTCTATAATTCCCTGGCTTTTATTTGCAGCTTTTCTTAAATAATGGTACCATATTAGCCAACCTCCAGTCTTCCTGCACGTCACCCGTGGCTGTCAACGATATAAACATTTCAGCAAGGGGCCCAGCAATCACTTCCCTAGCTTCCCACAAAGTTCTGGGAAATACCTGATCAGGTCCCAGGGATTTATCTAATTTTTATTTGTTTTAGCACCTCCAACACCACCTCTTCTGTAACATGAACACTTGTCAAAGACATCACTACTTACTTCCTCAAGCTTCTTGGCTTCCATGACCTTCTGCACAGTAAACAATGATACAAGATATTCATTTAGCATCTCGCCAATCTCCTGTGGTTTCCCACACAGACAGCCATTTTGATTGTTAAGGCACCCTATCTTCTCCCTAGTTACTCTTTTACCCTTAATATGTTTGTAGAATCTCTTTGGATTCTCCTTAGCCCTATTTGTAAAAGCTGCATTATGTCCCCTTTTTGCCTTTCTGATTTCCCTCTTAAGTATATTCCTATTGCCTTTATACCCTAACGATTCACTCGTTCCCAGCTGTCTATACCGGATATATGCCACGTTCTTTTTCTTGACCAGAGCCTCAATTTCTCTGGTCATCCAGCATTCCCTACTCTTACCAGCCTTGCCCTTCACACTAACAGGAACATACTGTCTGTGAACTCTCGTTATCTCATTTTTAAAGGCCTCCCACTTCCGAACTTTCCCTTTACCTTCGAATAGCCTCTCTCAATCAACGTTTGAAAGTTCCTGTCTAATACTGTCAAAATTGACCTTACGCCATTTAGAACTTTAACTTTATGATTAGTTCTATCTTTTTCATAACTATTTTAAAGCTAATATAATTATGATCACTTGTTCCAAAGTGGTCCCCTACTGATACCTCTACTTTGCCCTCCCTTATTTCCCACCAGAACGGCAAGTATTGCTCCTTCTCTAGTATGTACATCCACCTACTGAATAAGAGAGTTATCCTGTACACACTTAACAAATTCCTCCCCATCTAAGCCCTTAACAGTCCCAGCCTGTGTTTGGAAAGTTCAAATCTCCTACCATTACAACCCTATTATTTTTACAGATATCGGATATTTCCTTTTCAATTTCCTGCTGACTGTTGGGGGCCCTATAATACATCCCAACAAGGTGATCATCCCTTTCTTTTTTAAAGTTCCACCCATATACTTCACTGCCATGCTCCCAGGAATATCCTCCCTAAGTACAACAGTAATGTTATCCCTAACCAAAAACACCACCTCCCCTCTTCTCTTGCCCCCATTTCTGTCCTTCCTATAGCACCTCTACCAGGGGACATTGAGGTGCCAGTTCTGTCCATCCCTGAGCCGCATTTCTATAATAGCTGTAATATCCCAGTCCCATCTTCCCAACTACGCTCTGAGCTTGTCTGCCTTACCTGTCGGTCTTCTTGCATTGAAATAAATTTATCAGCTAGGCAGTAAATCTCTGATTCGGATCTGCTGTAGGCTCCCTGGTTTGGTACTGTATTCATTATCTCTTTGTTCCCTTATGCCTCTGTCTAAGTCTTTTTGATCTGTACATCCTTCGCTTACTATGATCTGCCTGTATCGCTCATAAACAGAACTTTTCACTGTATTTCGGTACACGTGACAATAAATCAATCAATCAATCAATCAATTAATCAGTGGCTTGCAGGAAGATATGCATCTGTTGCTACCCATTTGAACTGTCATGGTCATGGTACCAGAAAGGGTCATGGTTGTACACGGCCACTGGTCTGCAAGAAAGCAGACTTAACAGTAATAATGGGAAGAATAAAAATGCATAACAAATCCCTCCCCAGTCTGATACCCAACAGCACTATTGAAGCAAACTAAGCAACCATGAGGGAACTGCTGACTGCTACCATGGTCTCTAGTATGTTGGCCCAACTCTAAATATTTCACTGTGGCCTACAATGCATATAATCGATTTATTTATTGTCACATGTACCGAAATGCAATGAAAAGCTTTGTTTATGAGCGGTACAGGCAGATCATAGTAAGCAAAGGATGTACAGATTAAAAAGACTTAGACAGAGGCATACGTGTTACATTGCACAGGGTGTGTGCTAGGCGAGATCAATTTTAACAAGATCTGGGTTATTTGAAACTAGAGAGTCCATTCATCAGTCTAATAGCGGCTGGGAAAAAGCTGTTCCTGAACCTGCTCGTACGTGTGTTCAGGCTTCTGTATCTTCTGCCTGATGGAAAAGGTTGTATGAGTTTATTACCGGGGTGCGAAGGGTCTTTGATGTTGGCAGCCTCTCTGCAGCAGTGAGCTGTGTAAATGGAGTCCATGGATGGAATGCTGGCTTCCGTGATGGTCTGGGCTATGCACACCACCTTCTGTAGTTTCTTACAGTTCTGGGCAGAGCAGTTGCCATACCATGTCGTTATGCACCTGGACAGTATGCTTTCAATAGTGCATCTGTAGATGTTGGTGAGGGACGTTATGGACGTGCCACATTTCCTGAGCTGCCTGAGGAAGAAGAGGTGTTGTTGTGCCTTCTTGACTGTCGTGACCAAGTGGAAAGTCCAGGTCAGGTTGTTGGTTATCATCACTCCGAGGAACTTGATGCTCTTCACCCTCTCAACCTCAGTTCTGTTGATGAAGATGGAGTGTGCTCTCCTCCTTTCTTTCTGAAGTCCATGATCAGTTCTTTAGTTTTGCCAGTGTTGAGAGACAGATTGTTTTCATTGCATCACGTCATCAAGCCCTCTATCTCCCTTTTGACTCATCATTGTTAGATATCCATCCCACTACCGTGGTGTCGTCAGCAAACATGTATATGGCATTCATTCAGAAGTTGGCAACACAGTTCTCCAGTTCACCCATCATCTGCACAATTCTGAACTTGTCTTCTATCTGCACACAACTTAAAACTGAACTGCTAGATTATTCTGGTTTTGAGCAAAGGGTCAAGGAATCCTGATCCATATGTCAGTAACTTTTCACTGCATGTGTGACCTGTTCATTGCTCAATGCACTCCCCTCACATGCAGTCTCTGATGGATGTCTCTGCCCTGATGCATGGGAGAGAGAGAATGGATGCTCGTTTCTACACTACAAGTCTGGATGCACTGAAATCATACTTAAAGGTATATCTAGACAAATAAAAGAAAAAGACTCTTTAAAATGGTACTCATCAGTTTTAGCAGAAACAGTAGTAATGGATCTCATGTTGTGCTTCTAACTTGTTGGCTGTATCACCTAGAGTGCTTTAGTCAGAATCTAAGTGGCTGTGTTCACATTGAAATGGCATATTTCAGTTTTTGGGACTTAACTGACTGCTGATGCTTTCTCCCAATTTATAGTCTTTAATACAATTAGTGGAAGCTATTGTTATATAGTAGATAGCCATGAATGCACTATCTTCTTGGATTTTACTGACCTGGAGGTGACTGAAGCATTTTGTGCCATGAAGTGACCTTTTGCTTTAATAGATGATTTCATGCTAACTATCCTCCATATCTTCTGCAGCTCTCTTTTTGTCACTTTCCAAAGTGTATTATGTTCCATAATTGCTTCAAATTTAGTAAAAATTTCTCATGTCGGAAACATGCCCATTTTGATGTGTAACCCATGATTTTTGCCCATATGAATAAATTCTAGTCATGTGGCTTTTAACTATTCATTTGGTGTGAGGTAACAACATTTTAATCTCACACTCAGTTTTCCCAGTTTGAATAACCGGATTCCTTCTTATATCTTGATTCTTTAATATTTTTGTTTCCTCTCTCATCTATGACTGCACCTTCATTCTTCCATGAACTCCAAGTCTTCTATATTGGGACAGTAGATAGCTAGATGTTCTCTCACTACTTTCATGGTTTTTATTTTCATCTTGAACATTAAGGCCCATAATTAACGCAGGTGTGTTGCTGACTCTTGGTAAAGTAGCTTAGCATTCGTAGAATGTTGGAAGTAGTTTAGGTTAAAATCAAAAAACCCCTAGTGTAGGAATGCAGAGTGCTGCTGGAACTACTGAATATCATTGTCTTCCTTTTTGTAATTAAAGTAAAATCTATATATTTGTTATATTATTAAGAGTTTTACCTATCTCAATTTTTATTCCACCCTGTAATTTTACAGGGGTATCACAGATAACTTGCAAGACACCACATCCTCAAGCTGGCCAACCTGTAACAATTTCCTGCACTGTTACGGGATCTGCTTTAGAAGACTCGCACATCACTTGGTACAAAGATATTTACCCTTTTGATGAAACCAGCTGCATTGAAAACAAACCATTTGAAACTGGTGTAGGTTTCACCACTGCATTAACTTACACACCAAAGCAAGAAGATGATAATTGTCACTTCCAAGTTGATATTATCACTGAGATGGACCCAATCAGCAGATATTTCAAACTGAAATTAATTTGAGTTGGTATGGCAGTTTCTGAGACAGTAATCAATGCATTCTGATGTTGCAGCTGTAAAGTGAAGGAATATTCTTGCTTCAACTTCATAATGTATAATAAAATACTTTCATAGGTGAAATGTAGGATGTGTGATCAACATTAGCTTTGTTTTTATATGCATCCATTTTAGTTTGAGATTTACTGATCACTAATAAATTTATCCTGGAGCATTGTAATCTCTATATCTCCTACTTGTATTAACACTACTAATATTTTTGTTCTTGTTAGCTGGATGATCAGAAGCAATGGGGAAAAGCCATTAGCTAGCTAATAAAAGGTTGAGTATTAAAAAATACCTTAAAAGCCAATCTTTGTGTCAAGACAGAATATATTAATGAAAGAAAGTGACAACCGTTACTGTGAAGGAATTAGAGGGGGAAATGGCTGCTAAAATAAATTTCACATAGCATGTGGACTGAGAGAGAAGTGTGAAGAAAACAGAGGATAATGTGTGAAGAAATATTGTGTGATATCACCTTCAGTGTTGCTACTGTTCACAGTCATGACTGGCCTCAAACAACACAGGAGTTGGAGGAGCATAGCAGGCCAAACAGCATCAGACCATCAGAAGGTTGATGTTTCGTGTTGGGACCCTTCTTCAGAAATGGGGAGGGTGAAGGGAGCTCAGAAATAAACAGAGAGAGAAGGGGTGGGGCTGGGGAAGGTAGGTGAGATGGTGATAGGTGAAAACAGGTAGGGAGTGGTGGGGATTGGTCAGTGGATGGGTGGGACGGACAGGTGGGGGGAGAAGATGGACAGGATGTGTCAGGTCATGGAGGCAGTGATGAGAGGGAGGGTTGGATATGGGATGAGGCCGGGGATGGGGAGATTTTAAAACTGGTGAGTTCTATGCTTAGGCCATCAGGTTGTAGGCTCCTGAGGCAGAATATGAGGTGTTGCTCCTCCAGTTTGAGGGTGGTGTCATTGTGGCACTGGAGGAGGCCCAGGATGGACATGTCACCCAGGGAGTGGGAGGGAAAGTTAAAATGGTTGGTGACCGGAAAGTGTTGTCATTTGTCCATCATGCTTGTAATGTTGCACATGACCTCTTTTGAATAGAGAAATTGGCTCTGGTGTCTCTAGTTGCCATTTTCAGCATACATTGTGTGCAACCTTCTCCTGCAATACAAAAAATGTAATAGCCATATGTGCCTGTCATGATTGTGTAGTACCAATGTTATTGAGTAAGTTGAGGTTGCAATAGTGGTGAGAGCAGTTGGAGGAAGATAGACTGGTACAGTGATTGTAGGAAGTGAAGTAAAACAGTGGAACAGAGTGTTAAGTGTAGCTGTAGGTGTGAGGAGAACCATTGAGATGAGAGGTGGAATTCCTGGCCATATTTGAGACATTTGCCAGAACTGCAGCTATATCCTATGAGCTAAGATGACATTAGTCTCCTTCATTGTCTTATTGTTGTGTTGTGCTACTTGGAAAACTTTCTAGCTCTTGGTTGTTTCAGCTAAGTGTTGTGTCTGTGAGGCTAAAGTTGCTTGGAGTCTATTCCTTTGATTAGTAACAAGTGTCTTGCTTGGATTTATGAATTTTCAACCTGCAAACGTCATGTGGGTTTTGTTACTCATCCCACTCTAATGGAGCAGAGAAATGAATAAGTAGTATGTATTGTCCCATTTCAGTTTGATAGGTACTTTTATTTTTCAAAGAAAAAAAATCAGTTAGTTCAATTCAACAGACTCAGCAGTGCTGAAGATATCCAGTAATACCATAATTGAAGAGACAGCTCAATACCATAACAACATGTACCTTTTGTGCTGTTTAGGAAGTCCACTTTATAGTTTATTTCATACACAAAGTACATTACTTTGTAATAATAAGATGCATTTGTTGATGACTATTGGATCCACTTTAAAATGAAGACAGTTTGATTTATTTACAGACTGTTGTTTAGATGTTTCCTCTGAAAATTTATAAACAAACAGTATTAATGTCCATTTCAAAAAATGGAAACGTTGTGAACTATTTTTGTATTCCGCATTTGAGAATCTGTCTGAATTTGCCATTTTGCCAAGGGGTATGTTTATGTGATGTTACTATGTTGGCACAGTTTTTTTTTGTATTTTGACTAACCTATTCAACTAACTGAAAATTGTTATTTGAGAAATAGGTGCAATAATAGATATTTCTGCTTTTTCCTCTTGACTCTTCCCCAACAACACTCTCTTTCTGAATTGGAAAGATAATTCAAGAATCTTTTCCAGCACAAAATCTAAACTGACACTTCAGATTAGTACCAAGGGAAGTCCTGCAGTGCTGAGACCATCGTATCTTCCATATCACACATTAAAAGCAGGCCCATTTACCTTACTGTCAGAGTGGGTGACGTCACTCCGGTATTTCATTGTAATTGTGGCTGCCTTTTTGGGCAGGTGATTTATATAAGCCAGGAATTAGAACATGTTTCAATTCCTCTAACCTTTTCTGGCTAACTATTAATATATGCAAGTGGAAACCTTCTGAAGTTGATTACTGTGATTCAGAGTTGAGAACTTTTGTAGAGACTTCTAAATGGCTGGTAATTGTCCATTAGAAATTACAAGTTGCCAGGAAATTATTGTATAGTCAGTGTCATTCCCCAGTTATCAGGAAACCAAAATATCTGGGCCATTGTATGAAATGGTTACAATTGAGATTTGTTTTCATTAATATTGATTAAATATCAATTTTAATTGTGGTTTTTAAAAAAGTCAAATTAGGATTTAGTTGTCAGAACTTTCTTTGTATATTTTTTGTTTGTATTTTTATATATAAATAAAATATATATTTCTGTATTCTAAGTTCAGCAATATTGTCACTTCATTGTAGGAATGTAAAATAGCAGTAATTGAATTTTGTGTTTGCCAAGATAGAGGAATCATTGACTTTCATCTCACCACTCCCTGGGTCACAACATAAATTTTAAAATATTTTACCCAAGTTCCCCATTTGGTGTATGCTTTCTGTATATTATACTTAGAATGAAAAGATCCATCAACTGGATATCTTTGCTAAACACAAAATTAATTTATTCTGAAATAAAATGGTCCAATAAAGATGCAGAATTGGTTAATACTCTCAATTTGTAATCTGAAAAATATAAATATCTGCCCCCTGTGATGAGACTCTGGGTTTAAGAGGTTATTTTGTCCTTTTTGTTTGAAGAGAGGTTGTAAGGCAAAGCAGCCTGGGTAATGTAAACAGCTTGGGAGGCTTTGGTTTTTTTTAAAAGTAGCCTAAATGGGGTGTGGCCAGCTCTCTCAGATCATTATGTACGGGGTGTTATGGACCAGACCAGATCCCCTCAAAATATTTTAAGAAGGTCCCCTAGCTCCAAACTTTTTCTTACTTTAACGGCAGATGTAAACTCCCATGTTCCGGATACAATGCGACTGGTCAAACTACTCACTGTTAAGCAAGTCCTATCTAAAAGTTGGGAGAAACTTGCTGCATCTCAATGCATTTGCTGAGCGCCAAGATGAGTTTCTCGCAGCCAGCAGCTAATGGCCAATTAAGAGGTATTATAACTTGTTAAATGTTTTATTAACATCATAAATCACCTCATTAATATTCAGCTTCCTCGCTTACCAAATGTGCTAAACAAGCTAGATTTCGGTAATTCTCATAATGGAAGGTGGAGGAGGTACCTGGCAACTTTAGCTCACTGCCAGCTGTACTGTTGTGAAGTGAAGCAGGAGGATTTACACATGAATATACATCCAAAGAAAGCCCGAGAAGGTTGTCAAACATGAGGGAGGTGTTGTCCATAGTCAGGAGTGACCTGGTTTCAAGGGGAATGCAGTGAATGACATAGTTACTTCATATGCAAGGGGCTGGGTGGGAAAAATAGGCACATGGGTTGGATGGGTACTTTGGGAAATGTGAAGCCTGTGGTATTAACGGACAGAGCCACCAGGAAGGGAATATTTATGTTTGGGAGCTTCTTGGCACGTTCCAGCTGAGTCTGGAAATCATTGGTTGCGGAGTGCTCGCTGTGCTGTGATGGAGATGAAAAGATCTATCACTACACTCATTAGGTGTACCCTAGAAATCTGTGGGAACTGAGGGAAGAGATTGTTGGGCCCTTTGCTGAGATATTTGTATCATCGAAAGACACAGGTGAGGTGCTGGAAGACTGGAGGTTGGCTAATGTTGTGCCACTATTTAAGAAAGGTGGTAAGAAAAAGCCAGAGAACTATAGACTGGTGAGATGATATTGGTGGTGGCCAAGTTGTTGGAGGGAATCCTGAGGAACAGGATTTACATGTATTTGGAAAGGCGAGGACTGATTAGGGATAGTCAGTATGGCTTTATGCTTGGGAAATTGTGTCTCACTATCTTGATTGAGTTTTTTGAAGAGGTAACAAGGACTGATGAGGATAAAGTTATGAATGTGATCTATATGGACTTCAGTAAGGAATTTGACAAGGTTTCTCATGGTAGACTGTTTAGCAAGGTTAGATCACATGGAATAGAGGGACATCTATATATTTGGATCCAGAACTGGCTCGAAGGTAGAAGGCAGAGAGTGGCGGTGGTGGAGGGCTGGTTTTCAGACTGGAGGTCCGTGACCAGCAATGTGCCACGAGGGATTGGTGCTGGGTCCACTGTTTTTTGTCATTTATATAAGTGATTTGGATGTGAACATAGGAGGTATGGTTAGTAAGTTTGCAGATGACACTAAAATTGGTGGTATAGTGGACAGCAATAAGGTTACCTCAAAATACAATGGGATCTTGATGAGATAGCCAATGGGCTGAGGAGTGGCAGATGAACTTTAATTTAGATAAATGTCAGGTGCTGCATTTTGGAAAGGCAAATCAGGGCAGGAGTTATAGACTTAATGGTAAGGTCCTGGGGAGTGTTGCTGAAGAAACAGACCTTGGAGTGCAGGTTCATAGTTCCTTGAAAGTAGAATCGCAGATAGATAGGATAGTGAAGAAGGTGTTTAATATGCTTCCCTTTATTGGTCAGTGCATTGAGTATAGGACTGGGAGCTCATGTTGTGGCTCTACAGGACATTGGTTCCGCTACTTTTTGAGTTTTGCATGTATATCTGGTCTCCCTCCTATAGGAACAATGTTGTGAAACTGGAGAGAGTTCAGAGAAGATTTACAAGGATGTTGCCAGGTTTGGAGGGTTTGAGCTATAGGGAGAGGCTGAATAGACTGAGGCTGCTTTCTCTGGAGCATTGGAGGCTGAGGGGTGACCTTATAGAGGTTTAAAGAATCCTGGGGTTCATGGATAGGATAAACAGGCAAGGTCTTTTCCACTGAGGAGGGATTCCAAAAATAGAGGGCATAGGTTTGAGGTGAGAGGGGAAAGATAAAGAAGGGACTTTTCAAGCAGAAGTGGTGCATATTTGGAATGTGCTGCCAGCAGAAGTGGTAGAAGCTGGTATAATTACAACATTTAAAAGGCATCTGGATGGGTATATGAATAGGAAGAGTTACAGGGATATGGGCCAAATGCTGGCAAATAGGACTAAATTTATATAGGATATCTGTTCGGCATGGATGAGTTGGACTGAAGGGTCTGTTTCCATGCTCTTTGTGACTCTATGACTCTGTCTGTGGGAGATGGTGTCTTGCTGAGAGGAAAGGGTAGTCAGCCTCTGGTTAGCTCTTTTTTCGGCTTTCTGTTTGAACTTTCCCACACTTCTCCCCCTGTCTCGAAGTTAAAGTGTACCAGTCCTTAGTGAGGTCAAGGGCATTTATGGTCAATTATGGAGAGTCACCACAGTTGGTCGAAGGACTCATTCAATTGCAGTAAGGGAATTTGGACCCAGTCAGTCACTTGAGCCCACCACTGCCTGGGAATCATTGTCTTTCCTGTCTGTGGATGGGCCTCAGTTATTCCCGCAGGTCAGCCATTCTGAAGATTATAAGTTCATAATTCAAGGAGCTATGGAAACATCACTCTAGGGCCTGGATGATACTCAGCTGGAGATATCTTCACCAGTCAGTCTGGAGATTGGGCCACGGTTAGAACTGGGATTTAGATAATAAGCATTAGGGGTCTTATCAGATGATCCATGGAGTGTTGGATAAGTGGGAAACTCAGGTCTGGGGATGGGCTACATCATGCTGTGATACTGAGGGGTGAATGACAATCAAGTTGCCCAAGTCCAAATGTAAGGCTGGAATGATTTAGAGCATAGGAGTGCATGGATGCTGTGGAATCCAAGTCACTATCACTGTATTTCAGTGGGAGGACAGTGGATTAAAATCATAGACATGGCAATGTAGTAAGCCATGGGCTGAGGGGGAAAATTGGGGATGCTAAAAGCCAAATAAAGTGTTGGATGATGGGGCATGAAAGCTGATGGGGTTGACAGGGACAGCAACTCAAAACAGAACATGAAGGGTTAGGACTATTTGGCAGACTCTACAAATCATTTGCAAGAGCATGAACTGGATGGTGTGCCATTTTCAACTGAAACTTAACAAATCTAAAAGCAAAATGGTGAAAACACATAAGCTAATTTCTTTTTCCTGCTGGTGCAGGACAGGGCAGACTGATTTGTTATGTAAGTCTTTGCTAGGGGCAATTGCATTAATCGGGCATTGGTAGATTCAATAATGCCACACCTGTACAATCAAATTGCATTTCATATGCAGCTTGTGCATTGACCAAAATTGTACATTAAATATTCTGGAGATCTGAAATAAAAGCAGAAAGTGATGAAGAAACTCAGCAGGTCTGGCAGCATCTGCAGCAAGAGAAACATAGGTAATGTTTTGAGGCTGATGAATCTTTGGAAGCTCTGTTTCTAAAACACATTAAAAACTTTGGCCTCGAGCAATCATGACAATTTCATCACTTCTAATAATGGATCTTTGTCATCTCTGCAAAGCTGATGTGACTGCTGGAAATCTTGAAAGTGACACCTGTGTACACCAGTTCACATGCATATTTCACAGGTGTCACTGCTGCACACTGCTTTAGAGCTGCTACCATGCCACACTTAACCGTAAATATGTAAGAACATTGTCTGTTATATCCAATAGTGTATTTCTTAGCTGAGTGAGTGGGATGGGGAAGAGTGCAATGAGAGTCTAGTCCTACCAGATTTATAATCTCGCTCTGTTGTTTGGTAACATGTTTTACACTACACATATCTAAATAAGGTGAAATAACTGAGGTCCATATAGAGGCAAGTACGTTGCCTTCTGTCTGGGAGTTGTCCATGCCATAATGTATTGCAGCCTAACATGAAGCTTCATTTCTATTTGTTATGACTGCTCAGGAATCATGTCACCGAGAAGCTGTTTTGGTTATGATATTCCCCACAGAGTATCAGTGCACCTACTTCAAATGGATCTACAATGGCTGGGACTATCGTTATTGTCACAGTCCCACACAGACAACACAAAAGGAGGCAACAGTTACAAAAGCAAATCTTTGAACAACAGAAACATCAATGGCTGCTGAGCAGCCTCCAGAGAGAGAGAAGCAGCAACAGGAAGTCTTCCCAGGATGCAGAGGAGGATGAGGAGACTCAGAATCTGCCATTTTCCCTGTCTTTCTTTCAGGCATCCACGGTTCAGTATTGACTGGCGTCCCTAGACACCATACCAGAACTGTGTCATTTACTGAAACAGGACATGCAATCAGAAGGAGTGGGCGGTCATCTCATTACAGTGGCCATCAAGGTAACAGGAAAGCTTAACTTCAATGCATTCTGGTCCATTCCAAGGAGCTACTTGCTGATCGGGTCAGGCCATGTCCTCTTCACGGCTGTGGATGCCACTGCAAAAGAGAAGAGAGGGCATTAGTTGTGCAAGGGGTTAGAAGTTTG